TATCTCACCCTTTGATCAAGATTTTGCTGGAGAAGGCCTCTAATGAGTTTGGATTTGATCAGAGAAACGGTCTCGTTTTTCCCTGTAGCGTCGGTGCATTCCAAGAAGTGATTAGTGCTGTCGAATGCTGCCATGGCAGATTTGATTTTGGAGCTTTGGTAGAGGAGTTTATTTAGACAACTACTTTTACAGAATTATATTTAGAGTTGTTTTCAGTTCTCTTATTACGAGAGTTCATTTAGGGTGCATTTGGATACGATGATTTGATGCATGAATTTCAAATCCATTCGACTTGTTTCGATTTGACAAGGAATTCCAAATCCCTACTCTCTCTCTCTCTCTCTCTCTCTCTCTCTCTCTCTCTCTCTCTCTCTCTCTCACACACACACACACACACACACACACACACACACACACACATAGCTGAAGAAGGGCTACAGCCTTTTTATTACCCAACAAAAGTTGTAGTAGAAATGTAAGTTTAATGAAAGATCTAACAGAACTACCACATTTCAAGAACAAGGGTTATAAAATTATTATTAAAAAAAGAAAAACCTGCATCAAGTAGCCCCATCCAAAAGAATCCTTTTCATATCATCGATAAGCTCTTGCATCTGCTCCCTCGAATGCAAAGGGAACGGAAATACGCAGGCGCAATCCAATGCACCATCTCTAATCGTATCAAAAATCGCGATAGACGGGCCTATACCGTGGACCGAGGCACACCCAATAAAATCCTCCAATCCAATAGCCTGGTGCAGTTTGTTTGACTGATGGATCATTCGGTCCTCAAAGACGGATATTAATGAAGTTCTGAGCGATGCTGACGGTGTTAATGAAGGGTTCTCAATCGCCCTGCACATCAAGAAGTTCAGATCAGCCATGTCTGAGAAATGCTTCTTGTAGCTTTTCGAATTCTCGAACGATGAATGGATTCTTTCTGCCAACTCCCACAATTTTTCCCCGCCTTCTATGTCGTGCGTGTTGAGAATTGCAGAGTGATAAAATCCTGCAATCATGAGATTTTTAGTCAATTTGGAGTTAACCCGATTATTCTTTTAGCCCTGTCAGCGAATAATCGAGCAAATTTCCTCACGAGTTCCTAGTTTGCCGGTACTTCTGTGATAGTGAACCTAATCTAAGTGGTAATTATAGGATGTGGTGGTGAGCACTGAACGAGTTGTGTCGAGAACCACAAAATCATTTTTTCAAGATTCGGCATGAACTTTCTGAAACGTCCACCCTTAAACAAGATTTAATGCACACAAACGAGAGTGAAGCTCGATTAATTCAACAGAAACATACCAACATGGTGGCTGCTAAGCGCTGGATCAAGAATCGAACGGCAGTCCATGAGTGTTACAACTGCGTACTTTTCCCATTGGTCGTAAGGAACCCTTTTCGATGAATGAGAGGCAATTACTCCAGCTGCAGCTAAAATCCCACTCAGTTTTATCCCATTCTTGTCGCAACTCTGCCAAAAGTTAGTGCCGAAACTGAAGTCATAATAGTGCAAGAAATAGTTGTTATGCATTCGATACAAAAACAGATAACCAACTGTAGCTGAACTTATAATCCTGAAGAAATCACATAATTACAGAGAGAAAGATCTCGATATCAAGCTGGTTTAACGAAGGCTGGCTGCAGTATATTCGCTTTGAAATCGAAGCTTTTTACCACGCAAGGCAGTATTCAGGTTCAGTAAGCACCAAGACAAGAACAAAGCTTATTAAGTCTTTCCTGATCTCATCCAGACTGAAAACTAGAAACTCAACGAACATATGACATCCTTAAAAGAACTAATCGAACATAGCTAATGGTACAAAAACATTATCATAGTTAAACGAAACAGGCTGCTCAAGCAACCGAATATAACCAGGAAATGAAGTAACTCTATCGCCTGAACCGGTTAACTATTCTATTTCTTTTAACCATCTTCGAAAAAATAATACAGCAACTGTCTCATCGTTGATGCACCTAATCATGCTCGTTTCTTCGTTCTACTTTTAAGTAAAACCAAACACATTACAGTTAACCAGTGATGGAACACTACCAAGATTCAAGAACTATGACCAGAACATAAACAAAAGATTCGCAAGAAATTGGCATACAGATAGAATCCGACGAGTGTCTTCCGCATTCATCTTCAACCTAACGACACGCGACAATCGGGGCGAAACCGTATCCTTAAAATCCAAATTCGACAGCCTCAAAGAATTCAAAGAGTACCCCAACATATCCACACCTCGAGCCCAAAAGGGTTTACTCCCCTGCCCAGAAGGAAAGTATTCCTCAATCCCCAAACTAACCTCCGCATCTTTTCCTTTTTCCATTGCTACCCCTTCCTCCTCCTCCACCATCACCCCCAATAGCCCCTTGAGCAATGCCACCGCCGATGTTCTGTCACAGGCTGACGTGTGCAGCCTAAGGGCAACAACCCATTTATCATCCTCCAGAGTGTACAAGCTGGCGAAGAAAACATCGGTGTCCGATAAAGGGTCGGGATTCTGCCACGAGTTGTTGTTCAGTTCGTGTTCGAGGATGAGGTGGAAGTGGGAGACGGAGGCAGAGGCGTAATCGTCGGGGAAATTGGTCCGGAGAATCTGGGACGTTGATTGAGATCGAACGGCTGGATTTGGATGTGGGGGTTTGGGGGGATGACGTAGGTGAAAGAGTTGGCGACGGGATCGAAGTGGAGTTTGGAGTTGAGGATCGGGTGGGACATTTGGAGTTTCTGGAGGGCGTTTTGGAGAAATTGGGTGTCGGCTGGCTTCGACAGTAGGATGGTGAGAACGGTTATGCCGGTGCCGCCGGGCACCGCCTTGCACCAGCTGAGCTCGGTGGCGCCGGCGGGTCGGATTTTGGGCTGGGTCCCATTATCAGAGTCCGACGAAAGGGACATTGTTGTGTGGGAGTGAATTCTTTCTGAGTGTGATGGCTTTGTTGGCAAATTATATCTTGATAAGATTGATAAGATGATGATGATGATGATGGCGATGGCGATGTTTCAGATATGAAAAGAGAGACGACGACACTGAGTTCAGTGTTTGGTGAGTTGGCAATTACCAACATAAACTCGTGTTATTTACAAAAATATTATAAATTCGACGGGTAAAATTCATTTTCGTCCCTGACCTTTGCATTCAAAAGCAAAATCGTCCCTGTGGTTTTAATTTCCTTCAATTTCGTCCCTGCAGATCAATTTATCCGCCAAAATTCTCATTTTTTCATAAAATTCCCACACTACCCTTGTAAATAAGCGGGGTTTTGTTAGGGTTTTATTCCTCTCTTCACAGCCTGTGTTTATCCCAAATCATGGGAGCAAATCCCCAAATACTTTGAAAAAAAAAAATCCGTCAAAAATTTCAGAATAAAATATTGTAGCTTCATAGCAATTTGTCTACACCCCTCCACTTCGACACTTCAGAGGTAAGATTTGCTTTGATTTTCAGGTTCTATCCTCTTATGTCAGTTGGTTCATAAGTGATTTAAGTGAGATTTTTTTTGCATATTATTACTATTTTCTTGTTCTATATGAATGGGATATGATAAATACATAATCTTAAATCTATTTACTGCAGAAAATGCGATTTAGTTTGGGTATTAGTTTTTTGGGAAAAAACTATTCTCTGCGGAATTTGGAAAGCAACGGCTATGACTACTTATCTTTGTTGAGTGATGTTTGTGGGACTGCAACAGGGCATAGAAAAAAATGGTTGAGTGAATTGGTAGTAGTAGAAGGTGTTTTGCCTGATACAGGAGATAAATTTGCAATCCACAGTGATGAAGACATAAGCAATTTAATTGGAGTATATATTGCTTTAGGATTGGAGGATGTTGCTGTTTGTTTAAGTGTAAGCAAAAATCGATGTGCCACAGATTTGGTTGATGCTGAAAATATTGGTGGTAGCTCTAGTGCCACACAAATTGAAGAGTCTGGCCTTATTCTAGCAAACATCGTGGAGACTAATGAGTCAGATGAAGAGGGGAGCATTGACATTGAAGAAATTGCTGAATGGAGTGATTCTGAATTCGAGAAAGATGATGGGCATGCTGATGCAGGTGATGAGAGAGCTCCTATTCATTATGAATCTGATTCAGAGAGTGATGATTTGAGTGACTACAACTCAGATAGGGACCAATCAGTTTACCATAATGATGAAGATTTGCAACTTATGGTTCCAGTAGCACCTTTGAGTGATGCCATGGAAGGTGAATACTTTGAACTAAATAAAGATTTAAATGGAAATCAGATTGTGGTGCTAAAGGAAGGGCAAATATTTGACAATGTTCAACATTTTAAGGAGATTCTTGCCAAATACACAATACAAGAAGGTATTGTTTTGAAAAAACTCAAGAATGATAAGGTGAGAGTCACTGTAACTTGCATTACTGACAAGGACTGTGATTGGAGACTACATGCATCTACCTATGGTGATGGAGTAACATTCAAGATCAAAAATATAAAAGGAATTCATACTTGTGTCAGAAAATTGAAGTGTAGTGGAGCAACAGCTAAATGGATTGCAGCTGAGTTCAAAGAAGAATACAAGAGTAATCCAAACAAATCAGTAGAGGAACTTGACAATGCTTTAAGGTCAAAGTTTGGAGTCCATGCTAATACAAGCAAATTGTTTAGGGCAAGAAATATTGCAATGCAAGCAGCCTTAGGAGATCATGAAACTAGCTATGCTAATATTCCAAGATACATTGCTGCACTCAAGGAATCAAATAATGGAGCTTTTGTGAAACTGAAGTGCCAAGGTTTGGACATTACCAATCCACATTGTAGCCCACAGTTTGAGAGACTTTTTATAAGTTTTGAAGCACAGTATAAGGGTTATATCCAAGGTTGTAGACCTTTTATTGGAGTTGATGGATGTTTTCTAAAAGGGCCATTCAAAGGTGAATTATTTACTGCAGTAACCTTAGATGCCAATTCTGGAATTTTCCTATAGCAGGTATTAGTTTTAATATACTTAATTTATGTATTATTTTAATTTACTTTACATTGACTTTAATGGTGTGTGGATTTATTTTTGTTCAATTCCAGTCATGATTTGTGAAGGAGAAAGTGAAGACAGTTGGAATTACTTCTTTGATTGCCTGAGTACTTACTTGCAAGATCAGAGGGTTATCACTTTCATGAGTGATAGACAAAAGGGATTGAAGAAAGCAGTGAAGTCCATTTTTCCAGTCTTAAGACAGAGATATTGTGCAAGGCATTTATATGCAAATTTCAGAGCCAAATTTCCAGGCCCGAAATTGAGAAAACTCTTTTGGATTGCTGTGAATGCTTGTACAGAAGAAGACTTTCAAGATGCAATGAACTCAATCAAAGCAGCTGATTTTGGAGCACACAAGTGGTTGATAGAAACTTGTAAAGAAGATCCAAGTACTTGGTCAAAACATGGATTTGATAGAATTACAAAGGTTGATCATGTTACAAATAACATGACAGAATCATTCAACGCTTGGATGGGGAAAATGAGACAAAAACCAGTGATATCTATGTTGGAATGGTATAGGACAAAGGTCATGAAGAGGTTTTTTACTAGGCAACAAAAGGCACTGAGTTGGCAGACTAGGTTACCCCCTAATGTGAATGCAAAGGTTGAAAAAAATCAAAGACAAGGAAGAAAATTTTTGGCAATTCCTGCTTCTGAGTACTTGTTTGAAGTCTATGATGACAAGAAATATATTATCAATCTCAGAGAGAAGACTTGTCAATGCAATGAGTGGCAAGTGTGTGGAGTGCCATGTAAACATGCAATGAGTTGCATTTTGTACATGAGATATGATCCAGTAGACTATGTCAGCCCTTATTTGACTACAGAAGCTTATTTGAGAACCTACAGTGGTATGATCAATGCTATTCCTGATGAGTCTAAATGGCCAACCAACACTCAAATTCCTCCATTGAAGCCTCCAGTTCACAAGAGAAAAAATAGAGCATTTAAACAAGGAAGATTGCAAGTAAATAGAAGAAGAGAACTTAATGAGGCTCCTAAGGTACACAAAAGATCAGTTCATGTCACTTGCAAGGTTTGCAAAGAAGTTGGACATAACAAGAGGACTTGTAGAAGGAAGGATACAAATATTGTACCAATACAAGTGTCAAGGCAGTCCACTACAGTACAGGTATTATTTATTTCATTTTACATATTTCAGTCATTTTGATCATTCTAATTCTTTTTTTCTTTTATTAATTTGCAGGATCTTGGTTCTCAAATTTCAAGTGTAGATAATGGCAGAGGCTCTCAATCAAGGATTTAACTCATTTTGTCTTTAAGGTATCTGAACAAAGTATTTTTGAATTAGTGGTTTATCTTTATGGATCTCAGTTAGCTCACTTTGTCTTTAACTGAATTTGGCATATTTTGTTGTTAGTTTGATTTTTGTGGTCAAATGATTTTTGCTGGATATGATTAGCCTATTTTTGTGTTAGCTTGATTTTTGTAATCACATGGTTTTTATTGGATATGATTGAAATTGGACATGGCTCATTCTTTTGCTTTAATTTTGAAACCATTGCTTCGAAACATTACATTGGATTTATTGCTTCCAATATTTCATTGATGATTGCATTTACTACAATAATCAAAGAGTACTTGGACATTAATATTTGAACAATACAACAGAGGCTACAAGAGCAAAAATTGAGCATGTAAACAGACACATGTTAAATATGGTAATCATCTTAAGAACTTCCAAACTCATATAGCTAAATGTGGACTGTGTAGTGTTAGTTTCCATTGTGGCTAAAGGTGTTTTAGCAGTTGCTTGGTTGTTGTTGCTACTCATAGATATTTCTTCAGCACATGCTTGCAATGCTTCTTTCTTTACTTCATCTTCATCTGGCTCCCAAAATGTGTAGAAATTACACTTCTTGGTGTAACAATGAAAATAGAGTTTGTGGGGATTAAGTGTGGATTCTGATATTTTAACTGCAGCCTTCCTTCCACAGAAACAAATTCGATTTTTGAACTTGATAGCTTCTCCATTAATGCTGCTGTTGTCAGTTGAATTTGAAGAAGGCATTTTTTATTCCCAGAGATTTGGTATAGAAATGGATTTTTTTTGGTTTTTTTTCCCCTGTTTTTTAGTGTAATTCATGGATTTTATACAGCTTTTTTTTTTTGTCCTATACCTAACGGTCGAATTTCAAACGGTCATTTAAAAAAGGTGGGTTGTTGGCTGTAATTCATTTTAGTCCCTCAAGTTTTGTAAGGGTAGTGTGGGGATTTTATGAAAAAATGAGAATTTTGGCGGATAAATTGATCTGCAGGGACGAAATTGAAGGAAATTAAAACCACAGGGACGATTTTGCTTTTGAATGCAAAGGTCAGGGACGAAAATGAATTTTACCCTAAATTCGACATAACTTTTTATTATATTTCAATATGGAAGGCCCAAATTTATAATATATTTCAATATTATAAATTCGATTATTATATTTCAATATGGAAGGCCCATCCAATAAGGATTCCATGTCTTTGGGCTTTTTATTTTTTTTAAGTACAATTTCGATTTTAATTTTCTATTCAATTTTAATATTTAAAAACATTCAAAAAATTAAATGCAATCTCGGTCGGCCGTCGTTCCTGTAATACCCAACGTAGCAGCTTTGACGGTCAAGTGAGAAAGATGAATTTTTAGATGCACGTTCCATTAGGCTTTTAGGTCAAAACAAGCATCGGTTCGCTTAGAACCCCGACCCGAGCTAGGTCGTTTCATAGCGTCTCACATACAACTTTACCTCGCATTGTTGTGCAATGCGATGTGAGAGTAAGACGTTTTTCTCCTCGCTAGGGTTTCTATCTTTAGACTGTCCTTGTCATGCATACTTTATATGTATAATTAGTCTTAATTATTTATTATCGGGGCGACGAGATAGTACATATGATCAATTTCCTCGCCTAAGATTTGGGTTGGCATCTTTTCCTAATCGTACATTTCGATTTGCTGCATAGAAGCAATCTTTGCACCTCCCCATTTATATCTCTTATAACCTACATTATAACTATATTCTGATATGTTTGCTAGCTCTCCCTTATCCTCTAATATTCATCTTTAATTTTGTCAACTTCTTTCCGATAATATATATCCATTATTGCAATTACTATGGTAATTGTATACGTTCTCTTTCTTCTTTTTATTTTATTCTTTTTCCATAATTCCTTAAAGAAACAAACACTTTGTCCGATCGATCTAAGTAATTCATGCAATATTTATTTGGCAGGAGGCCGAGAATCATATTGGCGATACCAAATATGAAGAGGTCACTCGACCCTTTTTTTTTTTGTTCTTGTAATTAATAGTTATGATTTCATTACCTGAAACTGAATATTAATAATTTGTATCATCATATATGTAATTAATTAATCCGATCCAGGAATACGTAGAAAATTCGCGAGGGTTGAAACTTTTCACGTGCAGATGGTCTCCTGCGAAAACTGAGCCAAAAGCTTTGATCTTCTTGTGCCATGGATATGGCATGGAGTGTAGCATCACAATGAAAGGTCAGCCACACTAATTAATTCATAATTAGTTATATACCCATCATTGTTTTATTACTTTTTTTAGATTATGGAGGTACGATGATTATTTAAATTTAATCCGTTCGACTAATTAAGTAATTAATTAAATAATCGATCGGAACACAGGTTGTGCTTCTCGATTGGTAATTAGGGCAGGATACGAGGTTCATGGAATCGACTGCGAAGGCCATGGAAAGTCCTCTGGTCTGCATGGATTAATTCCAAACTTTGATCATCTTGTTGACGATTTATCCCAACACTTCACAAGTATTTCTGGTAAATCATTAAATTCCTTTTAATTCTGATTTTATTTAATCATTTGGTCTTTGAAATACTAAAAAAAATGTCTGTAATAATCTTCTTTAGAAAAAATAAAATTGATCTTACGACCTAATTGAGCGAATACGTGTACATTAGCTTTTTATAATCATGCATCGAAAACTTAAACAACGATCATGCACAAATAAGTGAAAATGTTGATATTATAATATAGACGATGCATTTCACTAATATATAACAACTTAAGAATTTGATTGAAATAGTCATTCAACACATGGTATCAAATGAAAGACAGATCGCCGAATTAAATAAAATGTCGTTTAATTTTATGTATGTGGACGAGAATAAACATATATACACCGGTCCCAATAATTAACCTGACTAGTCACTTGTTGGACGGTTATAACTTGTACGATCGACTTGTCATGAATAATCATGATCATGTGCTCGATCGACAAATATTTATTAATAAACCCCACCCAACCCCATGCATGCATTAATTCATGGTTGGCATATGATTAATTATATATGACATTTTATTTTTAATTTATTTTCTGAAGTTAATTATATATATGTTGATTTGATTGAATATAATGCAGAAAGGAATGAGAATAGGAAAAAGATGCGAATAATAATGGGAGAATCAATGGGAGGGGCCATGGCTCTACTTCTGCACAGGAAGAAACCAGATTACTGGGACGCCGCTGTACTAATTGCTCCCATGTGTAAGGTCTGTCTAAATTATTACATTAATTAAATTCTTAATCAAATCAGTAATTAACGTTAATAAGAAAGTAATCCAGATTGCTGATGAGATGAAACCAAACCCATTGGTTATAAGAGCTTTGACTAGTTCTCTGGCACGCATCATTCCCACGTGGAAAATTACTCCAACTCCTGACATAGTTGACCTTGCCTTCAGGGACCCCTCTGTAAGAAACCAGGTAATTAATTAATTATTTATTTAATGGACCCATCTTCTAATTTCATAAACAAAGCTAATTAGATAACCAATTTTTGGATTCTTCTGCTAAAAAAAACTACCCATAGGATATTTTTTATAATAAAAATATAATACGATGGATTTTTGGTAATTAAAGTAAAGATAAGGGAGCAAATTGCAATTAATAAACACTTGGTGAATTTTGAAAATAGTATTACTGCATGTAAATGGTGACATGCATGCAGGTGAGATCCAATCCATACACATACAAAGGCCGACCGCGCCTGCAAACTAGCTACCAATTGTATGCAGCCAGCATGGATTTAGAGAAAAGGCTCCAAGAGGTCACCATTTATTATTTTATTTTTATTATATATTCAGATATATTTAAATATCAATAGGAGAAAATACAAATTTCATCGCTCAGGTTTTCACCGATTTCACATTTAGTCCTTCATATTTCAAAAAATCAACACTTTCGGTCATTTCAGTCAATTTTCTCTTATTAGTAATGAATCAAGCATTGTGTCCAAGTCCAACAATGTCTTAACTGGCGGAGTACCGTTAAATTGACATAAATGATAAAAAATGTTAAATTATTGAAATATATATGAGGGACCAAATGTGTTTTTTTGTGAACATGAGGGACCAAATATGAAATCGGTGCAAACTTTAGGAATAAAAACTGTAATTCGCCTTTTGGTACATGTATTTAGGTTTTTCTGCCGTTCATAGTTCTGCACGGAGAAGATGATAAGGTGACGGATCCAACGGTGAGCGAAACATTGTACAACTCAGCAAGCGCGGTGGACAAGACATTGAAGCTGTACCCACAAATGTGGCACTCTTTGTCGTACGGCGAGCTGCCGGAAAATCTAGAAACAGTGTTTTCCGACATACTCAACTGGTTGGAAGATAGAGTTTTAGCCGCCCGAAGTGCAAAGTCTGAAGAGCAGCTAAAAGCTTCCTAATCATCACTCTTCATTCTCCAATTAACAAATTATAGAATATTGAAATGAATTTTCCCTTTTTTTTTTATATTATTTTGAAATGCAAATTAAAATGAGAAAATTATATTTTCACCCCTCAAGTTTGCACCGATTTCATATTTGATCCCCGTATTAAAAAAAAAAACATTTGATCCTTCATGTTTCAATAATTTACACTTTTAGTCATCTCCGTCAATTTACCGTTAGTCCTTCAGTTAAGGCAGTGATGGCCACAAATTTGATTCTGTTAGTTAACGGAAAATTAACGAAAATGACTAAAAACGTTGCATGTTTTAAACATGAGGGACTTCTTATGCATGTGTTTTTTGTGAACATAAGGGACCAAATATGAAATCAAAGCAAACTTGAGGATTAAAACCGTATTTTTCCCAAATTGAAATATACGGCTAACCCTAAAATACTGGAAACTGATTGGATCAATACATATAGCTTATATATTATAGCTTAATAGTACGTAAACAATAATATTCAATAATTAATAGACGCTAATTATTAATCAAATCTTAATAAGTTCCATCAATCAGAATCCGTTTCATACGGTCAACGAGGTCATTCATCTGCTCCCTCGAGTGCAGCGGCGACGGATAAACGCACGCGCAGTCGAGCTCCCCGTCTCGAACGGTGTCGAACATTGCAATGGAGGGGCCCACGCCGTGTGTGGAGGCGCACCCCACGTAGTCCTCCACGCCTATCTTCTTCCGTATCTCGCCGGAGTTGTCGATCACCGGCTCCTCGAACACCGTCACCAGCGAAGTCCGTAGCGACGAAGATGGAGTCAGGCTCGGATTCTCCATTGCTTTGGACATGAGGAAGTTCAGATCTGCCATGTCGGAGAAATGCTTGTTGCTTTGCTTGTAACTCGCGAATGCCGTGTAGCAAGCCTTGGCCAGATCCCAGAAATTCTCCGTTCCGTTTACCGTGTGCGTGTTGAGTATTGCAGAGTGGTAGAAACCTAAGCTAACACAAATTTTTTTATTCTACATTTTAATTTAATTTTTTAAATGATAATAAAAAGAATTAGTTATTTATTTGGTCGTCGTACCGAAGTGATGAACGGAAAGAGGCGGTTCGAGAAGAGAGCGGCAATCGATGAGAGTAACGACGCCGTATTTCTTCTTGAGTTTGTGATCAGATGTGAGTTTAGTGGAATGTGCAGCAATCAATGCAGCAGCTGATAAAGCTCCACATAGTTTAATCCCTCTAAACTTGCATCCCTGCAATATAATTAATCCATGCACGTTATTAATAATTTGATGAATTAGTTTGGATTATTCATTTGTTCTGTGTTCACGTATAGTAATAAAATCATTATACAATTAAACCTCTATAAATTAATACAGTCGGAACGATTAATGGAAATTCTATTAATTTAGCGAATTATTAAATTATCAAGTTAATAATTTAACACATTTTCACCGAGTCGGGATCGAGAGAAACTATTATTTAATCGAGATTATTAATTTATCGAGGTTCTTTTACAGATGAACAGTTACAATAAATTTTCATTGACCTTTTCTTTTCTTTTGGAAAAGGTAGTTTTGTAATATTTAATGACTGGGGTCCTAATTGAATGGGGTTGAACGACCAACTTTTGATTTGACCTAAATATTTGTGCTAATTATATTAATTAGGGTATCTCCTGACAAAGTACTAGGTTTTATGTTTTATGCCTAACCAATTACACAGTTTTATGTTTCATATTCATTCAATGCATTTTGATGTTAGGTATCACCAATTAATTACAGTAACACAACCACCCCAACTTTTAGTAGCATTTTTTCAATCAAATCCTCAAAGTACTTGATTTATTTGACCATACTTCAATACTCTGTTCCCTAGTACTATCTGTTTTTCTGTATGAAGTCTAATCACTATACTCCGTGATTTTCGGACCTTTAAGTTTTATAAAGTGTCGTTTAAGATAGATGCACACTGATTAGAAAATTAAATTATCATTAATATTGGGATAAAAATGGAAAAAAGTTAATTGCGCCTCCAGAGTTTAAAGCGACACTTAATATGATCAGAAACAATTGTAAAGCTAAAGTGGCACTTAAAAAGAAACATATGCGAAAAAAGATTTTCAGTTTGGAGCGGTTGATAGAGGCATGTTCGATCATAATTTCCAATATTCTTATCTTAATTAATTCCCAGCACGAAACTCGTGATTGTGCGTCAAACATCAGTCTCGATTTTTCGAGATATTTTGTTCGAAGAACGATTTTTATAATTTTGTCTAATGAAACATCTAAAACAAAATGTATATATATATCCAAAGCAATTATATATATAAAATAATAACAACGTTAAACAATTTAATGCAAGCATGGAATCAAAGTGTATGTATGTATATATTATATATACTTACAGCAAGAAGTAGGGCGGTATGATGTTTGGTGATTTGCAGTCTCACAAGCTGGGAAACCCTAGGGCGTTTAGAATTGTTGAAGGTCAAATTGGTAAGCCTAAGCGAGCTCACTGAATACCCCAACATGTCCCTACCATGACCCCATATTGTCTTCTTTGCCATTCCAATCGGTATCATATTTTCAATTCCCGTTTTACCCTCCCCTTCGTTCTTTATTACCTTCCCTATCCCACCATCGCCGCCGCCGCCCTCCACCACCACCGTCGTCTCCTCGGCCACCAGCTCCATTAACTCTCTGAGCAACGCCACCGCCGTCGTCCGGTCGCATACCGACGTGTGGAATCGCAAAACGACCACGGACTTCGCCGCCGCCGCCGCCACGTCATCCGACGGCGGCGCTTTGTACACGGTGGCAAGGATTACTTCGGCGCCGTCGGTCGGAAACGAACTGGGTTCCGACCAGTTGGTACTGTTCATCTCGTGCTCAAGCACTGAGTGGAGCGGAGAAAGGTCCGGGCTGTGATTGGTTATCAGCGGCGGCGCGTCGTGGAATTCGAGGTGGATTTTTGGGGCGGTGGGTGCGAGGAAAGAGAAGGACTTCGTGGTTGGGTTGTAATGGAGTTTGGAGCGGAGAAGAGGGTGGGATTTTTGGACCCTGTCGAGGATCTTGTCCAGGTCTGAGTTTTCCGGCGACAGTGATTTTGCCATTTGAAGTGCTAGCACGGTGATTCCGGTGCCGGAAGACACTGCACGGCACCAGTTTTGCTCTGTGTTGCCCAGAGCTCGAGGCGCCATGGTTTCCGACTTGTTGTTAGTGCCTGCAGTCATCTTTTGCAAATTCCGGCAATAGACACGGCGGCGGCTGCCGTGGTGTGTGGTGGCGATTAGAAAATAGGAAATATATGTAAAATACAATATCGATATTGAAGCTAAGCTCTAGAATATATATGAAAGGCAGCATGTACATCTTGATGTTGTGTGTATATATATATATATGAATATGAGTATTTTTATTTTTTCTTTTGCTTTTTTTTATAATAATTAATTTGTGAAAATTTACTTCAAAGTATGCAATTCAAATCATATTTAATTTATCAAATCAAAAGTCAATTCAGTCACATGACTTGTTTGTGTGCAATATTTTTATTTTTTTTTGTTTTTTTTTTTTATGAAAAAATATTTAATTGTTTAGCAAATTAATTAAACTAATGGTATCAACCCAAAATTTTAAACTGTACTAAAGAAATTAAATTATGAAGCTTAAAAAATGAAATTAGACTACTCCAAGAAAACACATGCATAGGACAGCTTTCTTGAGGTATTATTGTGAAATTAGTTTTACGTGTCGAAATTAGGTTGCCCATTCATATATAGAAATATTAATTAGTATGTATGGGACTTAAATTTGGCATGACAACAACAATATCCAAAAATGTACAATTTGTCCATTGGATGTTTGTGGTGTTATGAACCCTTTCAGACGTAATCACACCATATTCATAAATAACATTTATTATTATTACCTGCTTTCAGCATCGTTTAACGAAATGCCTACTGTCCGGGGAAGTTATATGCTGCTGCACCTGGTTATTTATACCGGGTGAAGTATTAGAACCATATATATAGTTGATTATTAATTAGAATAAACCTACTTCTAAGAAATATAAGCCATATCGACAACTATATATACCAACTTACGTTGAATTTTACATATCGAAGCACAAGGCGCATGTTTTATATTTTACCTGCCGACCTATTAAGTGTTGTTGTATGAATGTTCCTAATTTCAAGTTACTCATGCAATGTAGGTGGGCGCCATGTGCGCATTGATTTATCTCACAGTCTCCCCATATTTTTTTCATGTCTTTAATTTTTACTTCAATTCTGAGTTCTGTTCATTAATCTTTCTCTTTTTAATTAGTATGTGTTGTCGTTTTCATGTTAAATTAGTCTTAAATTTTATAATTTATTTTTATTAATCGCACATGTTTTCCTATTCCATAAAAAAAAAAAATACAAATTCTCATAAGATAAAAAAGAAAAAGAAAAAGAGAAGGCTGTACTAATGGGCCGCAATATGGCGGCCCAAATAAAGAGAATTTGAAGGCCCATGAAATATAAATATGCAGATTGCGAGGACACTTTTGTCAATTGATTAAATCAATATTTCGGTGAACACCAACCGTCGGATCAAATTTTTTACCGATTCGATCTAAGACAGCCAATAAGCACAAGAGCGGACCTCAAAATTTGAAATCATCAGAACCCCGCTCTCCTTTTTTTCCTTTTTCACTTTTCCATTCTCTCTCACACACAAAACACACACTCGGAGGAGTCGACTCTGATTATTGTACCATAGACGACAAACTTCACACACACACACTGACACACACACTCGACGATGTCGTCTCGTCATGAAAGAGAGAAGGGTGTGAATGTCCAGGTTCTCCTTCGTTGCAGGTAGGGTGTGTTTGTATTGGAAATTGTTTTTTTTTTTTTTGTATCTATTTAGTTTTTTGATTTGGTAAAATTTGGCGATGTTGCAGACCGTTTAGCGACGACGAGTTGAGGAACAATGCGCCGCAGGTGTTGACGTGTAATGAATACCAGAGAGAGGTCGCCGTCTCGCAGAATATCGCCGGCAAGCATATTGATAGGGTTTTTGTATTCGACAAGGTTAATTGGTTCTGTTGTGATATTTAAACTTCAGCTCATTCAGTTTTATTTCATTTGGAAGTATCGGTTTTATCTATTCTTGTTTAATTTGATTAAGTTTTTTTTTTTCTTTCAATTTTCTAGTAGCTGAAGTATTTTTTTAGTACTTGTAGTACTCATGTTTGATATGGCAAAAAAATACTCAATATGGTCTCTATAGTCAGTCAGCTTAAGCAACTGAAAAAATACCGGTGTACCGGCTTTTTGGTGCTGCGATGCAGCATTTATAATATCCACTACTAGTTGTAAAAATTGACCAGTTTCTGAATTTACATTTCCATTTATGCAGCTGGAGTTTGAGTTGGCTTTATACTGGTATGAGATGCATTTCCATTTTCGTTGCAACAATTTGATAGTTTTATTTTGAACTTCAGGTGTTCGGACCTAATGCCCAACAAAAGGATCTATACGAACAAGCAGTTATTCCAATAGTAAATGAGGTATTGGAAGGTTTCAACTGTACAATCTTTGCCTATGGACAAACTGGCACAGGAAAGACGTACACCATGGAAGGGGAATGCAAGAAATCTAAGGTACTATATGTTCAAATAGTTTTTTCCCCTTATTTTATTGAGTTCCTTCGCTTACGTTGATATTTGCTTCATATTGAAGAGCGGTCCAAATGGAGAATTACCTTCAGAAGCAGGAGTCATTCCGCGATCAGTAAAGCAAATATTTGACACATTAGAGGGTCAAAATGCAGAATACAGTGTGAAAGTCACTTTTTTGGAATTATATAATGAAGAGATTACTGATTTGTTAGCCCCTGAAGATATATCTAAAGTTGCAATGGAAGACAAGCAGAAGAAACAATTGCCACTTATGGAAGACGGGAAAGGCGGTGTGCTTGTGAGAGGTCTAGAAGAAGAAATTGTAACTAGTGCCAGTGAAATTTTTACTTTACTTGAAAGGGGATCTGCTAAACGTCGAACTGCAGAGACCTTACTTAACAAACAATCCAGGTACTGATTATAATTCTCCTTCAAATGTGGGTATAGTTTTTCTCTTCTCCGGAAACAGACTATAATATAGTTCTTTTTGGATATAGTCGATCACATTCTCTATTTTCCATTACAATACACATAAAAGAATCGACCCCTGAAGGTGAAGAACTCATAAAGTGCGGGAAGTTGAATTTGGTTGATTTGGCTGGTTCCGAGAACATCTCCCGTTCTGGTGCAAGGGAGGTAAAGTTTCATGTACTACAGTAGTTAAACTAGCTGTTACGTAAATATATGTTAGCTCTTTTCATATTAATGATGTAGCATTTATTATTTTAATTATTTTTCTAATTAATATTCATTATCTGTTCCCTAAATAAAATATTCAAATTTGTCAGGGAAGAGCAAGAGAAGCTGGAGAAATTAATAAAAGCTTGCTTACATTAGGAAGAGTAATAAATGCTCTGGTCGAACATCTTGGTCATATTCCTTACAGGTTCAATCATTTCTCATGATCTAATACTTTGTTTTTCTTTTCCATTTAAAAATTTGTGTCTTAGTTGTTCATTTTTGGCTCTGCATGCTATCTCTTTCAACAGGGACAGCAAACTCACACGTTTGCTTCGTGATTCGTTGGGTGGAAGAACAAAGACATGTATTATTGCTACAGTTTCACCAGCTGTTCACTGTCTTGAAGAGACCCTTAGCACATTAGACTATGCCCACAGGGCTAAGAACATTAAGAATAAGCCTGAGGTTTGTAGCAAATTTTACATTGCCTGTTAGTTAAACTATTTCCTCTCTCCCTTTGATTTTCATACCCTAGTTTATGTGCATATTAAGTTTTTGCCCCTTTAATGGAGCTATCATCTCCAGAATTGTCTCGTCATTCTAACTGGTTTAACGAACTGTGTTTTAGGCAGGCTAGTTTTTGTTCACTTATAATTGTACATCCATTCATATTGTATTTTGTAATGGGAATTAGATGGTCAAATGGTATGTGTAATTAGTTAATGCTGGTTGACATCAATGCCATTCTTTTAGCCATGCGTTTTTGGGGAATATAATACCTGTCGTCTTATTTGTGGCAATTTATGTGAGTTTTGAGTACTAATAGGTCTTTCAGATATAAGTATGAATATTGTTCATCTTGTCGTTTGATCTTTGTCTGTGATGAAAAAAAGTAGTTCAGATGATGCTCTAACGGTCAATTTTGCAAAGATTGTCACATAAGTATTCTGTAAAATCAAAATCCTTAAATCTTTTTATTCAACTTGTAGGTGAATCAGAAAATGATGAAATCAACTCTAATCAAGGATCTCTATGGTGAGATAGAACGACTTAAAGGAGGTAAATTGTTATGATCTCTTATATTACGGGCTTGGCATTGCAATGGTTTTCTGAAAGTTATTTATACTCAGTTCATACTCTCTATATATATATCATCTCCGCCTATATCTTTGTCTTTCTATAGAGGTTTATGCTGCACGGGAGAAAAACGGGGTGTACATTCCTAAAGAACGATACTATCAAGAGGAGAGTGAGAGAAAGGTTGGAGCCTTTCAGTCTCCTTGATATTTGAGATCATTCAACACTATTAATGATTCCATATTTCTTTCTTCTTTTCTTTCTTTATTTCTTGAAATATATGACGATATGTCTTTACGGCTACACAATTGGTACATGAAATGAATTTCTGAATCTTCTACAATGTTTGTTTTTAGGCAATGGCTGATCAAATTGAACAAATGGGAATGACAACAGAAAACCATCTGAAGGTTAGTATGCTTATTATTCACATATTCATTCACTATATATGATATCTCAAAAGTTGTAACATTTGATTTATGGCACGCAGCAAATAGAAGAGTTACAAGGAAAATATGATAGTCAGGTCCGGGAGTGCTGTGATTTGAGCAACAAACTTGATGCAACCCAGGTAAGTCATCTGCATTACGTGCAGCCATCTAATATATCCATCATAGTCTTATATGGAATTTCATTTTGCAGAAAGATTTGAACGTGACAAGCAAGTTGTTGGCCAACACTGAGGACAACTTAAAGCGGTGTCAGTATTCCCTAAAGGAGCGGGACTTCATCATTTCTGAACAGAAGAAAGCCGGTATTTCACGAATATTAATATCTGATTTTATTTTTATTTTTTCCTGTGGTGTCTAAAAATAGTTTCTGAAAAAATGAACAGAAAATGCGCTGGCTCATCAAGCATGTATTTTACGGGCTGATTTGGAGAAGTCTCAAAAGGACAACACTTCACTATTTCTTAAACTTGGTTTGATTCCTGCTGATCCTTCGGTTTTAAATGTTTAGTAAATTTAGCCAGAAACAGTTATTTGATTGTTATTTCTTTTGCAGCTAGAGAGGACGAATTGAATGCTGATAACAGGTCGACTGTGAACAGTTTTCAAGCTGATCTTGCTCAGCAGCTAGGTACACTTTGTAGCTCACTTGCTGCATCTGTAACTCAACAGGGTAAACACCTGGCGTGTGTTGAGAATCTCTGTAATTCTTTTATCCAAGTACATGATAAGGTAAACTCTATCCTTATTCATCTTCCGTCTTAGTTTGTTTTTAATTATTTTAAACTCTATTTTTTTGAGTTTAGAGCACAGTCAAGAACTTAAGTTAATGAATCTATTACCACCTACCTATCTCTGCCTTTACTTTGTTTGCCGGTTCTTTTTATATGACGCTATTTCACTACACTTTTTTTTGTAGGTTTCTGTAGAATTAAAGCAGAAAGTAAGTTCTTCGAGGGCTTTGTATGTCTCTCATTTCGAGTCTGTACAAAATGTTGTCCGCTTGCACAAAGCTGGTGCTAATGCTGATTTAGAGGAACTCTCAGCTTTGGCTTCCGCCAATTCACAGTCAATTGAAGAAGTAGAACTTCTTATTCATTTTCCATATTTTTCTAGTGTTCATTGGGTTTTTCTTGATAAAGTCTCACACTTCAATTTTGTTTTATAGTTTTTAGCAGCTGAGGCTGTTGAAGCAAAAGCAATTTTTGATGACCTTCAGGAAACTCTATCAAGCCATCAAGGTGAAATGGCTCACTTAGCAAGAGAGCTTCGACAGGTTTGCTTATTTTGTTTCTTTTTGGGACTCTTTAGGAGATTTTAGTATTTTTTCATCTAAACATATTATGCTGCTGCTTCTTTTTTTTTTTTAAATCTTCATTGAGATTATTGACTAGAGATTTTTGCAGAGATTTCTTGTCAGTATAGAGCACCTGACAACAACCTCAGATTCTGTTCATGGATTTCTTGATGAGCTTCTGAAAGAATCAAAAAAGCTTGAATGTCACACCACTGAAGTTGATGAAATTCAGACGAAGTGCATTGCTGAATTGCGCAACGCTTATGAGGTTTATTACACTGGACTTCATTTTTCTGTACCAAAATGTGAGTCTGTCTTAGCTTACTTATCAACTTTGATGTCAACAGGAACAATCAAGGTCGGAAGCGGAAAAGCTTATTGCTGATATGACGTCTCTAGTTTCTGATTGCATGCGTCGTCAGAAAGAGATGGTACTGGTTTCTACTTATTCACCATTATTATTTATTTTATATTTCTCAGTTCCTGTAGATATCAATTAAAACCTTTTGACTGACAGGTGGACGCAAAGCTGGATGATATGATGGACAGTGCAACTGGAAATAAAATGTTTTTGGATGGACATCTTTTAACAATTGATGGCATTACAACAGATTTAAAAAGGAAATGGCAGGATTGTTTTGTCAAGGCAGAGACTAGTTTCAAGGATAATGCTGATTTCTCTGCAGCTAAGCATTGTCGTATGGAGTTACTTTTACAGAAATGGTGAGAATATGTTATTGCTACAGTTATTCTTATCTCTTAAAGTCTACTACTTTATTTCTATCTCCCTCAATTTTTCCTTTTTTCCTGTAATGATTATTGATACACACTTTTATTATCTCTTTTGTTTTCCAGTGTGAATACTTCTGATACGGCTCTGAAGCGGTGGCAAAGAACACAAGAGTCATTGAATGACATGGGAAATCAACATGCCTCTGCTATTACCTCACATGTTAGGTCTGTTAATTGCTCCTGAATATTTATTAATTTTTATGAATTTTATTTAGTTTGACATATACAACCAACACTTAATCTCACCCTCCTTAAGTATATGTTAATGTTTGCTTAAGTAAATAACTTTTACCGGATTTACTTAGTGAACGCTTCTTTTTCAGGGATATGTGGTACAATAATGAACAACATGATGCTGAAATTGGATCTGCTCTAGTTATTGTTGAGGATGATATCCAAACGAATAGCGAAGCTACCATTCAGTGTCTCAATGGTTAGTTTTTTTCTTCAAGTTGCTTCTGGTGAAATTTAAACAGCATCTTCCGTTTTAAAAAACTATTTTTATGTTCTTTCTGATATTTCATTCAACGTTTAAATCTCAATCACTATATCTTGTTTGTCTCAGGTTTGTCGGAACAAGAAAAATTATCCGTTTCTAAAATATTGGAGAACTCAAGAAATCATTCGGAAACGCTCGAGAATCTTCTCAAGGATCATTCCCAGCAGTCAGCGTGTATCGAACAGCATGCTGCCGACACTTTCCGGCAAAAATATATGGTACGTAGTTATATACTTTTATTAGTTTGTGAATATGTAATTATGACACTATTAGCCATTTAAAATACAATTCAAAAATTTTACGCGTGTTAATTAATGGCGCAGGATTACGAGCCGACGGGCAGTACACCAGTTAGGTGTGAGGCGGATATTCCGAGCAAGGTCACCATCGAGTCGCTACGGGCAATGCCTACAGAGGCACTCGAAGAAGAATTTAGGGAAAATAATTCATTCGACTCGTTTCATGTAAAAGAAGTAAAGCCAACACTCATTCCTCGTGCGCCATTTTCACAGATCAACCAGTAGCTGCCTGCCATGTTGCATGATTCTTTGTATTTCTACTTTTCATGTATAATACATACATAATACACTAACTTCAGACAGATGTGATTGTGGACTGTGTTGTGTTGTAGGCGCTCATCAATTAAAATTAATCCCTTCTCGGGATTTACTTTATATTGTAAGCTAGCTTCTTCTCACTGTTGTTTATCTGTTTTTATTTATGAAAATTGTTGGGAAATAGTTCAGATTGAAATTCTCAGAGTTAGGTCTCTTTGTAATTGTTCAGCTTCAAGATTGAATATGATCTATTTATTTCCTACTTTTATTCATAAATAATAGTGTTTCATAAACAGCTTAAAGGAATTGATTAACTGGAGTTGGTTTGGCAAATAGATTCTTAGTATTGTTAAACATGTAAGAAAATTCCCCATCTCGGAGCCCGAAATTCCCTTTTTGGGCTTTATATGCAATTGGAGCCTGAAATTCCCTTTTTGGGCTTTGTATGGGCGAGATAGTTGGTATCAGATACTATTCCTTTTGCGTGGTTTCCCGCGACACTAATTTCTCGCCCGATCGATTTACTATTAGCACCCGACTGACTCGAGTTCGTATCCTTTTTTTTGTGCGTGAAAAGTAAGGCTATTAGGGACGCAACCCAGGTGTTCGATAGAATGCCGAACAGAGACCTTGTAACTTGGACGGTGATGGTTACTGAATTTGCATAAGGCGAGGATTGTGGATGACTACATACAGTCTATGAGATTTTCCCTGTATCCTCCTTTTATTTGATCTGCATGCAAAATGTGGGATCATTGAGTTGGGAAGAGAGAGATATTGCAGCCCATGGGTATCACGGGTAAGGCCCGAAAGCTCTCGATTTGTCACTAGGAGCTTATTGTTGTCCGTGATCGGAAACCGATTTCACCATTTCAAGGTTCAAGGATGGGGCTTGTTCTTGCAGTGCTTACTGGTGAAATAGGATTTATTACTATCTGGTAAGAACAAAAAACTCTTTCTTTTTAATTGCTCATATTGTTCAGTTCATGTGTCCTTAATGCTCATTCCCTCTTAACCGGTCAACTTCCACCCTATTTGGACATGGTTAGTTAGTTCACGAGATTTCGATATATATGAGTATTCATAACGGCAATCAAAGGCAAGATAACATTTGTTTATGATGGGATATCACAGGAATTTAGTTATGTCTTTGTGACTTATTTCGATACGTGGAAGAGTTACATTAAAACAGAAAAAACGAAAACGAAAAACAGGGGGGGAAAAGAATAAACTAAACTAATCTCATCCTGTCTCAATGATCGACTTTGTCATTATTGGTTCATCTTCAACGGCTTATTCATGCTCCATGCATTCAAACTGTCGATTTTGATAGTCTGAGTGCCGTTGTTGAATGCATATAAATGTGCATTCCCGTATATTGCTAGAGTCGGATAAACCCTTGACGTAATGCATGTTTTCCCTCCCGCACCAAAGCTCTCCACCACAGAATTATCTATCTGCAACACCAAGTAAATAATATCCGTAAAAAAATTGTCTTTTTGAATTAAAACAACAATCTTAAGAAGTATTTGTCTATTTGAAATCCACGTACCAAACTCCTAAGAGATAGCTTCTTTTCGGTCAAGTCCACATCTACAAATCCTGCAAACGAGGGTCTGTACGCCCCATTTCCTTCCTTTAAGGTAGACCTGTTATAAAAGATTCGTCCAGAAAAGTCGTCAATAAAAGTTGTATAGCGGATATAATAGTTAACAGGAAAATACCTCGTTGCATCGGAACACATAAGTACTAAATGCTCGTCTTTAGCCTTGAAAACTCTGAAAAAGACGGGGGTATATTCTTCCAAGTTTTCCGAAGCCAATGTCAAGATTCCAAACGGTCCTAATCCACCCTCGACAGTTGACCCCTTTTGGCTACAAAGCTTCTGTGCATCATATCTATCCCAGTTTGAATCAAACGGCTCGGCTTTGTCCAAACTATCGAACGAGAAAACCACATCAACATCCGCCTGTGCAGCAGTTATTCCTTTAATTTCAACCTTCTCCCCCTTCACAAGCTTTCGGTTACTCAATTCCACCTTCTTCCCTCTCAGAGTTTCCACTTCTTCGATCGGCCATTGTAGCAACTGCTTCCCATTTGGATCTAGCAAAATCGTACGTGGGATAAGCTGAAAAATCATAACATGAGATTAGTACAATCATTACATATACATATATATATATATATATATATATATATATATATATATATATATATATATATGCATGTGTGTGTGTGTATGTGTTTGTCTATGTGTGTGTGTACCTGGATTCCGGCCCAGCCTTTCTTAACATCATCATTAGTAGAATCAGACTCGTTAGCCCAACCCCACAAGATCCTCCGATTCTTACTAGGATCAAAAAACGATTTCGACGCGTAAAAGTTGCCATAATCATACCTCAATCCATTCCATCCATCGATCATGCCTTCATCAGGTACGTACCTATCTTTCTCATTCGAATACGTACCTAACGTATAATACTCATACCTAGTCACATCAAGGCTCACCTTCAACACGTACTTGATCCCAGACCCCACAAACGACGTGTCCAATCCATTCTTACCGGAAACCGAAACCGGAAAAAAGTCCGGACACTCCCAATTCCCGGTCCCACCCTTCGAATGCAAAGGATGCTTCGCCTTAATCCAATGCACAAAATCCCTACTCCGGTACAAAAATGACATCCCTCTCTCTCTCCTCCTGCCGCCTATCGATATCCTCCAATGACCGTCATCGCCGCTCCACCATGCGGTTGTTGGATCGCGGAATGCGGTTTTGTTAACGGATATATCCGCGACTATTAACGGGTTGTTGTCGGGTTTGATCCATTTCGTGAGGTACGGGTCGGATAGGTCTGCCGGGATAGCGTAGTTTTGGACTTGGGTGTTGTTTTTGTCGATGATGCCGGTGTATAGGATGACGGGTTTGTTTCCGGGTAGGATAGTTGCCGAACCGGACCAACATCCGAACTGGTCGAACGGCTTCGACGGGTAAATTGCGGGGTCTAGTTTTTTCCAGTTGATCAAGTCTTTAGAAACTGAGTGAGCCCACACAATGTTGCCCCAAACAGCACCTTTGGGGTTGTATTGATAGAAGAGGTGGTATATTCCATTGTAATACATTGGTCCTAATCAAGCAATAGTGTAATTAATTGTTGAGTATGAATGGTTAATTTGCATGAAATGAGACACATGGGATTATTACTCACCATTTGGATCTGATTTTTTTTTTTTTTTTTTTGCCAGTTGAATCATTCACCAGGGCACATGAAACAGAAACATTAGTTAAGTTCATAAGTTCAATTTAAAAAAATAAAAATAAAAAAAATAAATAAAAAGTTAATCAAATATAATTATTAGAGCTGCAATAATATATAGTGCCATCCTAAAGGGTAAATTATGGATAACCCCTTGACATAAGGTTAAATAACTTATAAACCCCTTAAGTATTGGTAATTACAAATACTCCTAAAACTATAAGGTTGTTAAAGATATTAACGGAATGAATGAATTGTCTAAATTACCCTTTGTTAAACAAAAAAATTATGAGCAAATTACGGATATACTAGAAATTAAAAGAAGCATTATATTTACCCTCTAGAGAGTAGATTTGAAAATTCAATATTCAATGGAATATTTCTCTCTCAAATACTACTCCATCTTCGTGTTTGTTCTCTTTCTCATGGGCATAAGAGCGAATATCCGCACATTGTATGGGGACCACAAAGAGTACAATTCCATTATTATTATTATTATTATTATTATTATTATTATTATTATTATTATTATTATTATTATTATTATTATTATTATTATTATTATTATTATTATTATTATTATTATTATTATTATTATTATTATTATTATTATTATTATTATTATTATTATTATTATTATTATTATTATTATTATTATTATTATTATTATTATTATTATTATTATTATTATTATTATTATTATTATTATTATTATTATTATTATTAATATTATTAATATTATTAATATTATTATTATTATTATTATTATTATTATTATTATTATAATTATAATTATTAACTACTACTACTAAAGAAAATTGAAAAATAAATGGGGACCCATAGTACTTTGAACACATTAATATAGATAAGCTAAAGATTTAATGCCATAAATTCGCATATAGTACTAATAAGTTCCAGTTTGGTGGGACTAGCAAATAGGCCAATAAGTTCCAGTTTAGAGATAGAAATTGCAGCTTCATTCCAATTCAATTGGTGTAAAAAAAGAAGAAAAAAAACTCCATTTAAAAAAAGGTAACCGTCAACGTAACCAATTTGCACTATGTTTTGCAAACACACAGTACATATTAAGAGTAATAGAGGTTTTGTTCCCCGTATATAAAAGTATATGTGATGAATTAATATTAATAGTCAAATAAATATATGGTCATATTTGAGTCGGTGGTCAGCTTTGATACAGCAGCGCATATCTCTGCCCAACCAACATTAATTATTTAATTTATGTGCGGATATTACAAAGGAAGCTCCCTTCCCTTGTAAACAAAAAGTTTTGTCTTCATCTGATTATATAATATTATATTCATATAAATAAAATAGTTAAATATGATAATCTCCAGACATATATATAGCTGGATATATAGATACGAGATGCAGATTGGTACGTGGAAGTTAGATATATGTATAAATATATATAGATTACGTACCGTTAATCCAGTGTTTGGTTGGTTGGAAATGGTAGCCAGTTCTGTGAACTTGCTTGACGTTAATAGCAGGAGTTGATTGCAAGTGCATGTATGCTTTGTGGGAAGCTTCGCCATTGTTGAATATTATTATCAATCCCAAACAACGAATCAAAACCCATAATATATAACCCATTTTTCAGTAAAAAAAAGTTAGAGAGAGAGAGAGAGTATTAGTACTCTACTACTGTTACGTGTAACAGTAGAGGAGAGAGAGAGAGAGAGATATGAAAATGGAGGAGGAATAAAACGGGTATTTAAAGCCACATAGATGACGAGATTACGATTTAGAAAAAATTGAGGGATTGATGAGAAAAGTCAATGATGGGATTGGATAATATTTTGCAGCTGTTTTCGCTGTATTTATATTAATATTTTATTCTTTTTTTAATAGACCTTACTACTTTAATCAAATAACGTGGATATAAAATATTCATTTGTTTTTTTTTTTTTTTTTTTTTTTTTTTAATTCAGTCATGTAATGATGCTTTTAGCAAGAATTGGGTTTAAGGGCAATTTGGTCTTTTCAAATTAAATACCCTAAAATCCCCAATTTCTTCTCATCTCTTCGATTTGTCGATCCGAATGCAATATAGTAATAGTTATATATTATATATACCTCTGTCTCTTTTTTTGAATTTAAAAAAAAATCCCCCGCCAGCCTTATCCGATCTACATAAGTAGCACCTACATTAACTTTCTGTTGCAGAAGACCCACCCGGTGTTTTTCACCGGGTGTAGCATCGAAGGAACCCATCTTCTTCCTCCATTTTCATCATCAACCGCGCCTTCATTTTCTCCGGTTGTGGCAAACAAAACTCATCATTAATATTCATTGGTAAAACTAGAAGATAACTTCAACTATCATAAATTATATTGTAATGCTTGAGCACCAACAACTTGTCTAGTAGTTACAAATTGAGGCTCTAATCTTAATGATTTATCCCCATTGTAAGGTCTTGTTTGCTTCCATATATTGAATTAGTTCACTACTAATTAATTAATTATTTAGTCAAATACACGTCGTTTTTTTCCTTTTTAGTCGCATCGCACAAAAATAATCGCAAAGAAAAGGGTGTACTAAATCAGTGAAATAAAAACATTTAATTGTTGTATTTCAGTTTAGTAGCAAGTTTGAATATTTACGAATCTTACCATCCAAACATTTTATTAACCCCTACATTCTGAATCAATCTAACGTAATAGAAACAAAGCAAACGGGGCCTAAGTTAAGAAAAGAGGATGAAGAAAAAATGAATTCCAATAAACATGCAGGGAATGCTAATAGTTTAAAGTTGGTAGCTGTAGTGACGCATCATTTCAAGTCATTCACCATTAAATAAATTATGACGAAGCAAGTTTATTAATTATATGTAATGCTGAGAAACAAATGGCTTTTGCAATAAATACAAGACAACATGATTCCTGTGATCTTATTATAATTGAATAAAAAAAGATGGATGGGCAAACCAATGGTAGGTAAGGTGGCTGAGGTGTGATTTTCTTGACTTTTGGCTTTCTTTTCAAAATCTTGAGCAAGTATAGATGTTAGTGAAGAAGTAGATACTTGAAGCTAATAGTAAAGATAATGTCAAAAATAAGCTCGTAAACGCAGATGATATGAGTACATATGAACAACATAAAGCAACTATTGAATCTCATTGTCAACAGTTACTATGTGGGGATTGTCATAGATGGTTAGTCTAGTGTAGTTTACATCTCTCGTATAATTTACAAGCTATTATACGAGAGTATAAATATATCCAGTGCACCTAAAAGAAAACAATACGAAGTACAAATATAACACTGCATAGTGTAATAAAGTCCAAGGGAGAGTAATGATTGTTTAAGAGTTGAAGACATTAGCCACCCAAAGTTGACTATCAAAATAGTTTGTTGAATGCATGTCAAATTTCTCAAGCCACAAATGTGGATCCATTTTGCATCATCACAAAAATACACGCGTCCAAAATCATATATGTGCAGGGTATGACAACAATTAACTGACTTTTTGACAAAACCAAATTGGAAAACTTGGAAAACCAATAAATTTGTACGAATCATAACAAAGAAAAAGTTATTATTAATTTATACTCTGACCATTCAATTATCCCTCAACTAATTTTGTTTGGTTAATATTTTAGAGTAACAGATATTTGCAGACAAATTTATAGAAAGCATAGAAAATTTTGACACGAAAGAAGCATAACTCAACTAGGGGGCACTCAAATTAGATATGGACAACTGAGTTCTAATCCAAAATGAAGATATAAAAACTAGGGAAAAGCATATCAAAAAAATCAATTTGACTTACTTTTCAAGTTTATTTCTACCCATTCGACAAAATTTAATGAATATTTAAAAAGAAATGTCTTTCAAAATTGAGGTAGTAGTAACATAGAAGAATCTAACTTAACATACTGAAAACATAAAAACATTCATATAAAATAAAGAACTATTACTTTAAAATTGGTCCAGCAAAATCATTGCCTGAATTATCACAATAGTTCGACATCCCAAATAAATCAACCATCAACATAGTTTGAAGTTGGAACTAGATATTGTTCGACGACTAAATAGGAATAACAAAATCGTTTAAACTTTAAAAACAAAAGTCCATAGATCCCAAAACAACGGCAAATAATAACCCTGACCCGGATTGACAAACCTACAGCCTCCTTCCCCTTCTACCACCCTTTCTCCTGGTGCTGTCAGTTGGAATGGGAGTCACATCCTCTGAAAAAACACAAAAACACACAACCCTGGTTAGTAATCACTAAAGCAAATAAATAAAAAATTGAATGGCAAGATACATATAAATAAATAAAAAATTCTAAAAAATACCAATGCGGCCAATCTTCATTCCAGAACGAGCGAGGGCTCTAAGTGCAGACTGAGCACCAGGACCAGGAGTCTTGGTCTTGTTACCCCCAGTGGCACGGAGCTTAATGTGAAGAGCATTGATGCCAAGTTCCTGATATTCCCATGTATAAAGTTATTAACAAATATTCACACAATAAGAATAAATGGTATCTTAAGATGAAAGATTCAATAACCTTGCATCGGGTAGAAACATCTTGTGCTGCAAGCATAGCTGCATATGGAGAGGATTCATCCCTGTCAGCCTTCACCTTCATCCCACCTAAACAACCCAATGCAGAATAGCTCATTAATCATTCAGCAAACTACACGTGTACTTCAAATAACAGGGATTAAAGAAGTTCTCTGACATGTCGCGAAGGGAAATTAAAAGATCATTTTAAAGTAATATTTGAGAATATTATGTAACCTGAACAAATAAATGACCTCAAGTACAAATTCAAATATAAGAGAGAACAGATTAAGGTACTAACACAGCATCTGAAGCTTGAGTTCAAAATATCTAACTCAACTTTCCAAGACGCCTCAAACTCCTAATGATTACACATATATTAACAAAACCAACTGAGATGTACAAAATTCAATGACCAAATTTCAGTTGAGAAGATGTGTGGTTAAAGATATATCAAAGCTAGCGAACCCAGAATCAATTAGAAATGAGACTGGGGTATCTTAAGCTTTGAGATAATATATGCCCCCAGAACAAAGCCATCAGGAAATCGATCCCTTGCAGCTGAAAGAAGAGGCAATCTAATATCCTATTTCATTACATTCAATCACAAAACCAAAAACAGCGGGCGGGTAGTGACAAATTTACTGAATAGGTTTTTCCAAGTCGTTAACAATATAGATTTCTATTCTTATCGGCAGAACACAAATAACACCCAGTCTTTCACCCAACCAAATTTCATATATTTTTACCTTTATCTGAAACAACACATAATTCATAAATCATGTCGCCAAAACATTTAGCAAGTGATATTGAATATAATAAGGTGCAATGAACTTAAGCAGCAATGGGCAGTAACTCAAACAGAAGTATAAAAATATTGCATAATAAAAAACCAAACAATACCTGTGATGCGAACCATGGTTTCCCTTCCAGACAAATCAGTCACATGCTGCAAGAAAATAAGAATATAATTAGTTAAGGTCAAAAAGATTAATAAAAGCATACATCATGTTTAAATAGCTGCAAAAAAATATATAGTAATTAAATTCTACAGCTACACACTTACAATGAAGGTGTCGTTGAATGAGGCAAAAATGTGGGCGACACAGAAAACAAGTTCTCCATCTCTGGTGGCTGGTCCAAGAGTGATATTCTCTTCCTTGGGCTCCCTGGTCTTTCTCCTCGACTATTTAAACAAGAAACGAATAAATCCAATTAAAATAAATCAACATTGGAAAAACCAGCTCCTCTTAGATGATGATCTATACATCACTCAGCAATAAAACATGGAGATCTAAAACAAACGATAGAATTAAAAAACAACTGCATCTCCGAACTGAACAAAATCATACAGCTTTCCAATGCTCACGAAGCATATAATTGAACGAATAAATTTCACAAGAATCTATATAATAAGAAATGCATTTTAAAAAATCTAACATTATCAGAATTAAAAAAAGAAAAAAATAACATTTAAATTAACGACGAACACTAAACAAGGAAGGGTGTACGAATCGATTTCTGAGTGAATCCAAAATTATCACTTAATCTAAGAGATGAATGAAAAATCAATTTGACAGTGAACGGAGAAATACCATGATTGCGGCGGCGACGGAAAGAAGAAGATGGTCAGCTGCCTCTGAGGTATGAACTCCGGAAAACCTAAAGGCTGGAAAATCCTAATGAAGAGGTGATGAGAGAGCGACGGAATTTATACTTAGGGTTTAGGATGGCGGACACACTGAATTACCGTAAAGGCCCATGGCCCTTTTAAATTGTTTCAAATAACCCCTTTTAAATTGATAATTTTTTTTTTTCTATAACTATGAGGAATTTATTGGTAATTAATTCATATTCTATTGTTCAAATGATAACTATAAAATTTGTTAAACTTACAAGTTACAAGATTCAAAATACATGTATGTCGGGTCATTCTATACAATTTCAATTCCGGTACGCCAAAAATACATTACGAATTATATGGTTTGGCATGGAAATTACCAACTAATAATAAAGTTTAATTATAATCAACAAAATATTTATTTTTAGAATATAATTAATAAATTGTAGTGTAAACTGTAAAATATAATATTATAAGTAAGAATGTGTATAAAATATGATATAAAATATAAACAAGATACATACGTAATTATCGTACTTTTTAAAGACCAAAGTCGAATACGGTACACGGTATACGGTATGTGCCAAAATTCAATTTAACGTGTAAACACCCCTATAAATATGAATCAAATCTAAAGTATGTGCTTTGATTATATTTTCGGATATGGTAATGTTATTCTACATGAACATGTGTTTTATTTATCTTTAGGAACCGTATAATGTAATTAATTATACCCTTAACCAATAAATTATGAGACCAAGTTAAAGTCTTACAAGATAAACTTCCAATCTATATATAAGTCCAATTCATTATATTTGAAAAAAAAAACGTTAATATACACATTTTTCTATTTTATAGGTGGAATGCAAAAATAGCATTTTTTGAGGGGGGGGAAGTGCAATTGTTCCTAAATACATAAAAATTAAAAAAAAACACACACATTTTTCTCTATTGTGTGGGGAAATGCAAAAATAGCATTTTTTTAGGGGGCTAAGTGCAATGTTCCCTAAATACATTAAAAAGAAAAGAAAAGAAAAAACCTTTTTTTATTTTATGGGGGGGAAATGCAAAAATAGCATTTTGAAGGGGGCGAAGCGCAATTTTTCCTAAATACATAAAAATTTAAGGGGGCGAAGCGAAATTTGGCTAAATACATAAAAATTTTAAAAAAAATATTTGACAGCTGTGGGATTTGAACCCACGCCCTTTCGGACCAGAGCCTAAATCTGGCGCCTTAGACCACTCGGCCAAACTGTCATTGATGGTTATTGATTCTTAAGTAGTAACAACATAAAACACAACATATGCCAGCACATAAAACACATAATTTCATCTGTCTTTTTTAACACAACATTGCTTGTTCAGAAAATAATAGTTTTAATACTATTGTTATGCAGCATCTATGTGTAAACTGGAAACTATAACGGACTTGGCATAAGTGGTATATTCCAATTACTGGTGAATGTATTCAAGAACTGAAGTGGAGTCAAGCCCAACTGGCACCGTCGGCGAACTCGATTTATGTCACCTAGTTCGTTATACACTTACCCATCGCTCAATTTTATGAAAGCATATTATTTAGATATAGCATATTATATGTGAATCTACAGACAAAACACAAACTGAACTCGCTTTGTATTTCGTTCCAAACCTCTAGGTCTTTGCACACTATTGACACATAAAAAAACATTGTAAACATTACCTGTTGCAAAGTGTTTAAAATCATCAGACAACTTAATATTATTTTACATTGTACAGCAGTTTCTACACTGTCTTCTTGCTTGTAAAACCTCTTTCTTTGAGAGTGTACATATAGCCTATATAGGTAACCTCAGCTGACTAAACAGAGGGGGTGGGGTGGGGAGGGGGGGGGGGGATGTTTTAGTCGAACGGTTCTATTCTTGGGTCGTGCTCACTCGCCATCATCATCCCGGTGCAAAGGCATGTTGGGCACATTACCTGATACAGATGTAAAAGTAAACCGTCATTTGTATGTTATTACGGATTGACTTTTGAATAGTTGATGATTAATAGTAAAAGATATATACCTTTCCAGCCCCGGAGCAATTTAGACACCTTTTAGTAGTTGGTGCATTCAACGGACGATCAGAGGCACTCGCTACTATTGGTTCAATCGACAAACACAAACCACTTGCTGAACAACGGGCACATGCCAAGTATCCTGTATTCACATGCAATTTAAAAAAAAAATTAAAAGGAAAGGTTATTGAACACTGAAATTAATTTCAATTAATCCTGTTGTAGGCAAAGAAATGGTGCCACAATATTGAAATTAATCCTAAATAAATACCAGTTCCATGGCAGTATTTGCACCGTTTCTTCTCTTGTTGCTCAACGTTGTTAATCTCTAACAACATCAAAGCTGAAATAACCCCCACTGCCCCACCCGAAAACGAGGCCACAATAGGATCCACCTGACTGTAACAATTGTTCAATATTTCAATCGTGTGATCTGGTTTTTGCTTTGCCAAACAATGACAACAATTTACAGAAAATTAATACACTCGATCTGAAAATAATATAATACCTTAACTGCATCGGCAAATGCATGTTCATTATGAAATCTTCATAAGAAGTGCCTCCTATACCCAATTTTAGCTCAAGCTGCAATATGGAAATGATTCAATACTCGGATTCATAGATAATTCAGAACCAGCAATACTTTTCAGTGTAGAATCTAGAAGCTTACAGTTGGTGCAATTAAAGCCCCGAAAACTATAATTCCAGATATGAACGAAAAGCTTGTCAAATAGAGCTGCTTCAATGTCTTTGGTGTCTATTTTCAAAAGAATGGATAATAAAGTTAGGTACCATTCAGAAATATTGATAAAAATTAAAATAAATTCCAATAGTTTCGCTACAAAGATATCAAATAATGAGCACAATGCAAATGAAGTGGGAAATAACGCTAATAATCTTCTGTTTAAATTACCACATTAGGAAGAAAGGGAATTGATGACGGGATATCTGGCATCTCACTTTCATCTGGACTGTCGTAAAGAATATCCATACCCTTGATGCGTTCTTGCACTCTTAGCCTCCTCAACTTCAATAAGGATAGGAAAATAAGTCACACTGGTAATTGCAATGAAACAAACTAAATAAAAGAAAAAGAAAACGAGGGGAAACGCACTTCTTCCATGAGGAGAAATATTTTATTGCGTCTGCTTTTAATGTTGTCTTGAATTTCCTGGGACTGCATCTGAACAAAATCCTGAACAGTCTCTGGTCCTTCTATAATGCAGAAGTTGCTGCAAAACAAGTATTGGAAACGTAATTTGTAAGACAGATGGGCTAATGTCAATCTCGATATTATTCCTCGATTAGTACATCGATGAGAAGTTATAATATCGGCATGCCCACCGGCCACCCCTCAGTTTCAAACACTAAACCACTCTATCGAAGAAATAATCACAATTTTGTTTTATCATCAAAAGATAACCAAACTCAAACTGCAACAACGCCCAAAAGACCAAAACTACGAGCAAATGAATTCTCACGATAACAAGGAAAAACGGAATCATCAACAAAGGAAGCACAATAAGCTAATAAATAAAATCAATGATGGTGCATCATTTGAGCAATCTTGTATAGTTGTATTGAGAGATAAACTAAATCAAATTCAGTAGAACCTTGATAAATTAATAAGCTCGTTAAATAATAAAATTTTTGGTCCCAATTCGAGCACAATTGTGTTAAAAAAATATATCGTTAAATTAATATTTTGCTAAATTAATAGAATTCGGTAGGTTTAAATGAAGAATCAATCAATCAGTAAACAAATCAATAGAAATCACACATTCGAATGTACAGAGAGCTCATAAATTAGGAACCGGCGAGAACAAATTAAAAGTCAACCTTGCGCCGCTGTCCGCGGGAGGAGTGCCGGAATTAGATGAAGACGACGAATTGGCGGCAATAAGTTTGCTTTTGGGGCATACATTTCTGTTTCTCAAAAAGCAGATGTGTTTGGGGTCTGTGCTGCTGCTGATTAATACGAGAGATTTGGATGATGAAACATGGAGCGAAGAAAGGGGAGAGCACAAATAGAAAGAACTCATCTCTGATTCTCTCTCTCTATCTTCAACTGCTCATCCAATTTCGATTCTCTCTCTCTCTCTCTCTCTCTCTATCTATGTGAGCGAGAGTGATGGGGGGTGGGTGGGTGTTCGGAGTTTCTTATTGTTTTTGTCTGCAAGCAGTCAACATGAATAGGATCTTTACGGGATGTGATGTGAAATGATACTGAACATACCAGATTAAGAAAGTAACGCTATTTATTTTGGTAATTATAAAATTCGGGTCGGGTTATTAAAGGGCCGAATTGCTAAACGGGTTAATATATATATATATATTGCAACAGGCGTATAAAAGGCCCAAGACTTTGAGACAAGTCCAACAAATGTACACATGGAATGGGCTTCTAGTTTTAGAGGTTGGTTAAAAGTTAAATTAAAAACTCTTGAGAGTTTGGATTATTAACATAATTGGGGAATTAAAAAATTCAACAATCATTAGAGTAGACTAATTTATAGTTTATTTTCACTAATTTTTGTAGGTTTCAAACGTAGGTATGCATCCATTTGAGTTAGTTTAAATGATCATGATTGATCATGATTTTATAATTTTGCAGTTAGGTTGACAAATTTTAGATGTAAGCATATAAGTGGTAATCCGATGGATTAACGTATTAGTACTTTTAGAAAAAAAAATCCAATTTTTTTTTTCAAAAGTACAAAATTAATTTCGATTATATTTGGAAAAAAAATGGGAAAAAATAAGGAATAAAAATTTGGTAACCGAATCGTCAAAATTTCAGAAATTCTACTACAATTTCCTACACGGTGTGAGCATATATTATCTAAGATTAAGACATCTTTTTGAATAATAATTCAAATTAATCATTCAAGCAACGCAAAACACGGATGTAGGAGAATCATAAGACATAGTTAAATAATGGTTCACCAACATAATGATTTATGGTTATGTAGTTTCTTGGTCCGCCACTCCTCCTTGCAGCATAAATTGAGCCATGATTTCTCACGATATTTTTATATTATATATTAGAGAAAATAATTATAGTCATTAATCCAATACTTTATTATTATAGTTCCACTAAAATATTAATAAATGATAAAAATTAATATTTCAAAGTTCAGATCCATAATCCATACTTGGACCCTCCAAGAAAAACAATGGGAAACGTGAAAGAGCAAATGAAAAGAAAAGATGACGACAAGCGCGTGGAGCCCACTCTAAGACTTTGTTTCCATTTTCCTATTTTATTTTTCAGAAAATAAAATGTCTTTAAAGCGCAAGTAAATATGACGTCATATTCTCGTTTTTATCCCTCACATAATTAGAGCCTGCCCCACCACCACTTCACATTTCCCATCCCATGTCCCACTCGCCGCAACCCTCACCCACTGTGTTATCCGCTGCGACGCTGCGTCACGCTCAGAAAACTACAACTGACCTCTGCCGTTGATTCTATAGAATCATCGAGTGATTAACGGCCACGATTTATTGTGTGGGTCCCATGGGATGCGGTAAATATATATATTTTTAATTCTTATGCCGTTTGTGAAGTATAAAAACAAACACTATTACCCACCAGGCCACTACTCTCTTACGTCTACCTAGACAGTGGGGAAATGGATCGGAAAAATTTCATCGGCCACCGCCACCGGCGATCGCCCTCCTCCGACAGGTTTTTAGATGTTTTCTCTCCTCCTTCTACCGACGGTGCAATTTCCTCTTCTCCGTCCGCAGTCGAGCTCAACGAAGACGACGTCTTCTACACCAACGACTTCTCCGAACAGCAGCGGAGCGGCCCCACCTCCGCAGTCAACCACCGATTCCGTCAGTCCTTCCGCCAACCGGAGAAGTTCGGAATCCTTGCTGCGTTGCCGGGGGACCACCGGAACTCCGACGTCATTCTCCAGAAACCTGCTTTCCCTCCCTCCCCAACGACGTCGCTCTCTCGCGATGTTCCGTCGATTCCGAAGCCTAATTCGTCGTCGGCGGAGATGAAGTACTCTCAGTCGATGCCGATCCGGCGTTTCCAGCAGTCGGCGCCGGTTAGGGTTCCGATGATGGCGAGAAAGCCGATGAACGGGGAGCTAGACGACGTATCGTTGGGAGATGACGTGGACGACGAGGAGGTGCTGCCGCCGCACGAGATCGTGGCGCGTGGATCGTGGAGAAACGATAAGACTGCGTTCTCCGTGGTGGAAGGCGTGGGCAGAACTCTCAAGGGGAGAGATCTACGGCAGGTGCGCAATGCTGTGTGGCGCCAAACAGGTTTTCTGGACTAGTTTATTTTTCTAGTAAATTTGATACAATTACTCATTCTTGTCTTCCGATCTGTGGAATCAGTAAATAATTTAGAAGCTTATTCAGAGTTGGTCCAGAAAAAAAATACCACCACATATGAACATCATTGTCAAGTTTTATTAGTGGTGATGTTTAACTTACAGATTTTTCTTTTTTTGTTTAGACTTGCCTTGAAATGTCTCTATTTTTTTTCCAAATTTGCCTCCGTTATTCAGATTTTAGAATTTGACGTCTTTGGTCACGATTTTAACAATTAAAATGCTCCATTATTCATTATTCAGATTTTAATCAAAGATACGGTTACAAATTGTATCATGGTTTTAATAAATTGGGACTAATTACAAGTATATTTCAGTTCTCTTAGTTCATGATGTCTCAAGTTCAATATAGGGAAATTATTATAAATTTTACGGGAAATTATTAGAAATTTTACTTGGATTAATAATTAATTATTATTATAAAAAAGTTCTAGAACTGAAAATGACAAGGATGGACTCCACTCCAATGATTGACACAAAACAATGTATGAAGAATAAAAAATAATTGAACCACGAGTTTGCATTCATTGGGCGTAGCCTATCTAAGATGTTCCAACACAAGCCCATTAGTATTTACAATGTTGAACAGAATTTAAAAAATATTGAAAGTGAATATGCTCAAAACCTGTTTGAATGTAAAATGGGTGAACGGTCAGAATATCAATAAGCATTTACTTGATAGCTCACAAAGAGAATAAGCCACTCTCGCCAAGTAGAAACATTTCATCATTCCATAATAAATTTTGAAATAGGAGGAAAAACAAAATATTAATAGAGCTCAAAGAACAAAATCTAATTTGTATAATAAAAATTAAATAGAATGATGGCAAGTCAGAATATCAATAAGCTTTGTTTATACGCTCAGAGAGATCAAATAACCTCTCGCGCAACTAATAGTTTCCTCATTCTTGCCAAATAAATATATTCAAAATCAAACAGTAGTGTAAAAAATGTTGCCCATCTTGAACAACAGAGATAATTCATAACATAATTTTGGATAAAATAAAATTGCACGAGCCGAAACTTGCGAAGAATTAAATATCCAGAAATAAAAGGAATTGCCTCTGGTAATCAGATCTGAGAAGGGGCTAACAATGGAATTCTCAAAAGGAAAACCCTAGAGAGAATCCCAAAACACACACAAATCACACACTTTACACACACAAAACATGTGCGTAAACTATGCGTGTGTGTATAGATTCAATATTGCGCGGCTATGACTCAAAACGCTTCCATTGATGATTGTGGAAGGCGATCTTAAGGGCTGCGCTTACAGATCCAATGAAAATTGAGCTTCAAAAAATAAAAATAAAAATGAAATTGTGCATACGTGAAGAAGATGATCTGTTAACTTCAGCTGCTTTTCCCAGAAATTCGGCGCTCTCGAAACAAAATTTTAGCTGGAGACGATTCATGGAAGAGTGAGTGAGTTATATAAAGATGATAGGGTTTCTTTAGGTCACCGATATTGGGCTTTCAATTGTTGGCCCAATATAAATTGAATATTTAATTATATAATTGTTGCGATTTTATGCAAACGGGTACTATTATGAAACGGCCCGACTCAAACTACCGAACTATAAACAATGTCCATTAGCCCGTTATATTATGCTGATGTGTACAATGGATTAGTTCTGTGTGCAAATTGAAACTATTTAATATTTCATAATTTATATACCAAATTATATGCCATATGGATTTTGTGAGGAAGCTGATGTGAAAATCAATCTAGACTTTCAAGGGTCTACGTCTTCTCATTAACATATCTCTTTTCAATAAGTCAATTTGTCAATATTATTGAATTCCAAGTCTTTTCAAATTTCAAGTCCACTTTCATGATTTGTTTTTTTTTTTTTTTGGGTAAATTACAAAATATCACCGGAAGAAGTTGATATACGAAAAACACTCTTATCTATTTGTAATTATCGAAATTTCACCGACGTTTGTTTCCATCATGCATCGACCTGTAATATTTCACAAAACCTCTTTTATTCTAGTTAGTATTTCGCTAAAAAATGTCAATTTTACCTTTGCAATTGTCACATTTATTTATGCTACTTTTAAAAACAATAATTACCCTCGAATGGGTGAAGGCTCCCTGAGGGTAATTTTTGCTTTTAGAATTAGCATAAATAAATGTCACGTTCGACGAAATATTACTTGAAATAAAAAAAGATTTAATGATAATTCGCACCTTAGAAGTTGATGTAAGATGAAAACAAACATCGGGGTTTTGGTAATTAAAGATAGGTGGGGGTATTTTTCATAATGTAGCCTAAGTTTAGGGGATTTTCCATAATTTACCTTTTATTTTATTTTATGAACTATATATGTGTAATGCATTCAAGTCTTAGTTTAGAAGGTCATGCACACTTGGGTCTTTGCTAACTGGGAAGAATAAATTTAAGTTGATTGTTTGATGTTATATAGGGTAAAATATAATAAGGTGGATACAAATTATTATTACAAATACATATATATATGTGTAGACTCTATCAAAGAACTCTTGAATTTTTGGTCAAAGTCTCATAAAAATTAAGAATATTGTACATTCTAAACTGGCATATGTGAACATAGAAAATATTTTATGTGTTCTTTTTCCTCGTATAAGACAAATATACTTTCTTTTATCGGTCAATTTGGAAAATTTGTGAGTTGGTTTACTAAACTTGAGTTTCATTTGTCAATTACTATAAATATTTATAAGAGTACTGAGAAAAGGAGATCGATAAATGGAGTAAAATATTATTTGATAATTAAATAAATAAATATATGGATATTATTGATGATGATGATGAAGTAGGTACAATACTACCAGGTTATAGATTCTATCCTACACAGGAAGAATTGGTTTCCTTCTATCTTCAAAATAAGCTCAACGGCACGAGACCCGACGTTCACACCGTTATACCCGTTGTCAATATTTACGATCACAATCCATGGGATCTTCCGAGTAATTATTATTTTTTTTTATATTTTACATTATTTCATTTAATGCATGAAAATAAAAAGTTGATACATATATATTAATTAGTATTTTTTTTTTTTTAATAAAATAGAATTTGGTGGAGAGTTTAGCCCGGCGGATGGGGAGCAGTGGTTTTTCTTCAGTCCTCGGCAAGAAAGGGAATATCGGGGTGGAAGGCCAAACCGAATGACGAATGCCGGATATTGGAAAGCAACCGGCTCTCCGAGCAATGTTTATTCTATTATTAATAATTGTTCGGTGATTATTGGTATGAAAAGAACCATGGTTTTCTACCTCGGAAGAGCTCCGAACGGGACTAAAACTACTTGGAAAATGAATGAATATAAGGCTGTTGATTATTCTAATTGTGAACCTTCAATTCATAATTCCTCCTCATCAACTAATGTTGCAGATCCACAGGTAATTTATATATATGACCATGCAAATTAATTAATATATGTGCATGTTTTGTGTTTATGATTATGATTAGTGATGTTCATTTAATTTATATGCTTACTCATTAATTAATTCCTTGATTTTCCAATTCATATGTTTTTGTTTGTGTGCATGCAGTTAAGGGAAGAAGTTAGCTTATGCCGAATATATACAGGATCAAGAAGCATAAGGGCATTCGACAGACGGCCAACTTCCGAGCCCGCAGCGGAGGCGGTGCACCACCACTCTAGTGGCGGCAGTTCATCATCATCATCATCACCGCCGGCGGCAGCCCAGAATATTAATACAGCTACTGATCAGAACTCCGAGGGCGGCGGCGAACCATGCTGGGACGCTGATCAGCTTTTCAACTGGTTCTTTACATGAAAGCTTGCCAATTAGGATTCACCAAATAAAAAAATGCTGATGCATACGTCAGCATTATAGATTAACTGTTTAATTAATTAATTAATTAAGTAGGACTAGGAGTCTACTGTATATAGAGTGCGATGAATAAAGCCGGCTTGATTTAAATATTGTTTGAAGAAAAATAGATTTAATTGCGTTTAATAGGCTAAGGCCCAAAATCCAATTATGGCCCAAATACAAGAAAATTAAATTTCACATGTCCATTAATCAACAAGAAGTCCAACTCAAACACAAAACATTTATATTAATCATCATTCTTAAATCAAATTAATTAATGAAATCATTTTTAAATCAGATGAAAGAATCGTAAATACGGAACTGAAGATCAAACATCAAATATCGAAGTCGAAGACCACAGTTGAACCGAAGTGAGTGTAACTGCATTCAATTGATAAACAGAAAACCCTAAACCCTAGTCCACTCACATAGAAATTAGATAGCTCGAGCCTCGAGGCATTGATGAATGAACTCAATGCAAACAATCCGGCGAGCAATTGTAATCGGTAACGGCTTCGCCGGCGCCGAAAATCAGTGCATTGGTTTGGTTCGAGCTCTGCGTCTCTCCGATAAATGCACTTTATATGTAAGACTATTTATTTCGAATTTCAGTTTGTTTAATTTTGAAAATGCTGCAAGATGTCAAATTTCCCGAGCTGATTGATCTCTGTCAGATTTTTTTACTTTTTCTTTTTTCTCCCTTCTGAAACAAATTATTTGGTTGAATAATCACTCTGATTTTTTTTTTGTTTAATTTTTTAATTTGGATTATTGCTGCAGCGTGTTGGTAGACCGAGAGGAGGAATCAATGAAAAACTTCATTGGTTGCCGGTTTCTGCTCACAAACAATTAGAGCGCGTTGTTAATTGGATTAGTGAAAACCCATTTCAAACAAAGAAATTGGTGCCTTTTCCAGCTGAATGGAGAGGTAAAGGCTTATTTACTCATAATACTGTATTATTCCTTCATCTTTTGCTACTTGAATTTTTTTATCTTTCCCTTACCGTGTGGTTGATTAAATGTTATGGTCTCAGATGTTTTGGAGGCAGATGCAAGGCAGATTGCGAAAGTCGCTCGGGACTCGTTTGAGAGGTGCTTGTTTGGAATTGGCATGTTTTTTGCAATTCTGTTGTGTATTTAGACTGACATTGATATTAAATGGACAACATCGTAATGCATTTTTTATCAGTAGATATTTTGGCTTTATTCTCTTGTTTGAACCTTTTCGATTGAGTTTTCGACCGAGTCTGAGTAAATCTATAAATATCATGTGTATTTTTCTCTGATGGTTCTCATTTCAGACTTAGATGCTACATGTAAATGACATATCTATATACAATTTCTGAGGAGTTTATCTTTGTTCATCATCGCCATCGTTTTTACACTATTCAGTATTATGAACTGAACTTGATTTACACCCTTCATAATTCAGGAAGATACAGTTTGATATGATTATAGTCTAGCCACTACTAAATGTAAGGCACGTAAATTTGTGAGTAAGTCTAGATGTTTTTTTTGCATGTTCTCAGATTTAATTTTAAAAATATTTTAGGGATGGTCCCATCTTGGTGGTTGCATCAGGTCGTGATACAGTTGCTGTTGCAAGTTCCATTAAGAAGTTGGTCCCAGACAATGTTTTTCTTGTTCAGGTATCACGATTTGCATAAGTATTTAATTCTTTAATATGGTTTTGCTATTATGCTTTAGGCAGCTCCATAGTTCGTGTCTTGATGTTAACATACAATCATCTCTCATTTGGTACTCAAAACTAACTAGAGGAGATATAAGAATTAAATGAACTTTTTGCAGCATAACTGCCTCAATGTATAGGTTTGTATTTGACATAGTTTTGACTTTCGAAACACAATTAGTGAAGCAAGGGTGCACATTTCCTTCGATCGTTGATATCTTTTAACTATTTGGTAACAGATACAGCATCCACGGTCTCGTCTGAGCAGATTTGATCTAGTGATAGCACCTAGCCATGACTATTATCCCTTAACACCAGAGGCGCAGAAGCAAATCCCTTGGTTTCTACGAAGGTGGGTAACACCTCGAAAGCCACCTGATAAACGTGTGGTATGTCCCTTTCTTCATCGATTAAAGGATTTGTTCGCGTCACAAATTCTTAGTTTTGAAAGTCTTTGCAATTGTCCGCCTTTCTTGAATTGTACAGAGGTTATAGGCTTTGCTGAGATAAATGTTATTTTTAGGTCCTTACAGTGGGAGCTCTGCACCAGGCTGATTCTGCTGCTTTGAGAAGTGCGGCTTCTGTTTGGCATGATGAGATGGCTCCGTTGCCTAAACCCTTACTCGTTGTTTCCATTGGAGGGCCTACAAGTACGTTATACATTTGATTTTTGCAGAGTTCTTGTTATGCTCTATGTCAAACTTCTAACTCTGAGGTTTAAACGTGTCCGAACATACCATATTTTTCTGTTCTCTGTAGGGCATTGCAGATATGGTGCAGATCTTGCAATGCAGCTGACAGCCTCGTTGAAGAATGTTCTTCCAACTTGTGGGACCCTCAGAATATCGTTTTCTCGTCGAACCCCCAAGATCGTTTGTACACTTTTTCAGAGTTTTATATAATTATTCATTTATAGCTACATGCTTATTCATGCTTGTGACATACAGGTATCAGACATTCTAGTGGCTGAACTCTCAGACCATCCTAAGGTCTACATTTGGAATAATGAAGGTAATAAGTTGAAATAAGGTAATGCGTGATGATTTGAGATAAGTGGCTTTGTTATGGCTCGGACACTAGACAATGGAAATGCGTTTTTTGTGGCATTTCATTTATTTTTATGACGATATTTTCATCTAAGTTGCATCTTTACGATACTGTTCAGATCCAAATCCACACATGGGACATCTAGCTTGGGCAGATGCTTTTGTCATCACAGCTGATTCAGTAAGCATGTTGAGTGAGGCATGCAGCACAGGGTATCTATCTGGCAGTATATCTATTATCACAAAGTTTACATTTTATTTTATTTTATTTTTGCAAATTTGGATTATTTCTATGCCTGATTTTTTTAAACTTCAGGAAGCCTGTTTATGTAATTGGAGCCGAGCGGTGTACATGGAAATTTGCACATTTTCTCAAATCCCTGCAATGTAGAGGAGCAGTTCGACCTTTCACTGGTGAAGAAAATGTGATTACGCCTTCTCTCACTTTGTCTTTTTTTGTAATTGTTTTACGGTGTTGAACTTTTAAAGGAAAAGTTTCGCCTAAATACAAGTAATTTTTCTTACTAAAGAACGAGCAATCTGTTTTGACATGATTCTTAAGCGACTTCTATTATGACCTTTTTAGCTACTAAAAAGTGACAAATATATGTAATCTCATGTTGCGTGTAATTTAAACAAAGTTTAGACAATGCTAATACGTGTCTTGATTGTCCAGATTTCAGAAAAGTGGCAGTATTCGCCACTAGGTGATACCGAGAAGGCAGCTGATGAAGTGATCAAGGCACTTGCAGAACGTGGGTGGAGATTGCCTGCACAATGAGTTTGCAAACAATGGTATGTCAATGTTTCAAGTGATAAGCTGATAGGCGATAAGGGTTTCGTAAAGCAAATATCTGACAAAAAATCATATTAAAAAGAGAAACTCCTTCAAATTACATGATGAGCAATATCCATTCTTGATAACTCCCCGCTTTTCATCTTTCCAACGCCTTTCTTTGTCACACTTGCATTTTATTTACTGGATAAAGAAGTTTCGTACCTCATGAAACTTAAACCACAGTGATCATCGTAATTCTGTGAATGAGGAAAAATCTACTGTTTAACTGTTGGTATACAGGGTATGAAAAAAGTGCATCTAGATCGAAGGATTTGTATTTTATTAGAATATTTGAGAGGAAGGGTTGCAAATGAACTCCACATTCAAAATCCACTAAAATAAGTTCAATTTGAGAGCTAAAGATCTGAAATGTAATGTCAAATGAATCCACCCAAGTTTTTCGTTTCGGGTTTTTACATGAAATGGCTGAAATTATATCCTCATTTGCAGATACGAGGTGAATGATTTGTTAAAAGCATGACGGCGAGCTGATAAATGCACACGATGACATGAATTTCTCTACGAATAATTGTTTTTCGCTGTCATATTGACTATTTAAATTATTGCATCAGCTTGTCTTATTTTTTATGGCGTTCCAATGTTTGTTCAGACTTCAGACAATATATATATGTCTATTGCCTTTTTCATGAAGAAGCTCAAAAGAGACCCTATTATAACATATTGGTGGTAGTGGATTAGGGGAAGCCGTTTGTTGTTAGTTGACCAATCATTCTAATAACCTCGTTTAGCTTTATCTTTTGTTCCATTTTATTTCTAATTACATCTGCTATGCAACCCAAACAATTCATGTTTGACTTGTGACAGAACATAGAAGACCCCTTTACACAATGGAAAAGACTAATTTGGCTCTGGGAATTAATTGGAATAATATTAAAAAAAATAAAAAGTCTGTAATGTGTAGTAGTAGTTTAATTTGCAACCTTTAATCATTAATCTAATGCCTAACCATCTGCCCCAACAAAGTATTTTCCAACTTAAAATTGAAAAAAGTGATCAAATTTTAATTCTTAACTAACAGAAAAGCTATTAACAACTCCTCTTGCTCCATTATCTTTACAACTAAACTATCTACATCATCCCAATTTTCAATTTCTAAAGCATGTTAACTAACTGCATCCAATCCCTATATATACTACCCATCTTCCTCTTTCATATATATCTCACAACCTTTATTCGAGCTTTCAAAAACGAGCAACTAAAACACGAAAAAACTCGAGTTTTCCCTACTATCTTCTCAACAGTTGCATTAATCGAGATGGAGAAGAGTGAAGCAACCACCATTGACGTAGCAGAAACAAGCAGAGAAAGCAAAGGGAAAGCACCGCTTCTCCGGGATCCACCGGCTTGGGTTCCGGCGGCCGTTGAGCGACAAAGGGCGGCTCCTGCGTACAAAAGAGGGGTTGCAATATTCGACCTCATCCTCCGCATAAGTGCTGCCACGGCAGCTTTAGCCGCCACGATCACCATGGGAACCACCGAGCAAACCCTCCCATTCTTCACCCAGTTCTTCCAGTTCCAAGCTAGCTACGACGATCTTCCTACTTTCACGTCAGTCTTTTTTCTACACTTACACACACACTCTGTTTTATATTACCATCCCTACTTTCACGTCAGTCTTTTTTCTACACTTACACACACACTCTGTTTTATATTACCAAAAAAATAAATAAAAGGATAAACATTTAATTTTATGTCTTCTTCTTTGTCAGGTTCTTCGTGATAGCCATGTCAATAGTTACCGGTTACCTTGTTCTTTCCGTACCGTTCTCCATTGTCTGCATTGCTAGACCTGTAGCTGCTGCTCCACGCCTCCTCCTCATTCTCTGCGACACAGTAAGATCCAAAAAAAATATGTATATATATACGAACATAATAATGATTATAAAAATTGGATTTTGGGAAAAGCAATAACGATGTTTGTTTTCGGTTGTAGCTGGCGGTTACGTTGAATACTTCCGCAGCGGGAGCGTCGGCTGCGATAGTGTACTTGGCGCACAATGGGAACTCGGACGCGAATTGGCTGGCGATTTGCCAACAGTTCAACGACTTCTGCCAGAGGACCAGCGGAGCGGTGGTGGCTTCGTTTGTGGCGGTTGTGCTGCTCATTTTCCTGGTGGTGCTCTCTGCTTCTGCCCTAAAGAAACATTGAAATTAAAACAACATTTGCGTGTGCATGAATTTCATTTTCATTTTTTTTTTCACTCTTTGTAAGTTGTTTTTAATTTTTAATTTGGTGGTTCTGTTGTTTATTGGCTGGTGAACCGATTCTTGGATTTTTCTGTGTAGATCGAAAGAAAAATCAAATTGTACATCACATTTGTTATATTGCAATTTACAGTTTTCGTTTTTCCCTTTTATTCGACATTTGCAATCAGAATTCGGTTCAGTTTTTATATTACACTTCAAATGAAAATACTTTTAATCGTTTGTTTTAATTTCTAAATACACACACAAAAAAAAAAAAAAAAAAAAGAGGGAAAAGGAAATATGAACTTATTGACTGTTAAAAAAATTGGGGTGGATAAAAGTAGAATTAGCCCAATCAATAGAACTGTATTTGCTACTAATTTGTGTATTTAGTTTTCCATTATCATTTAAAAAGAACAATATATTACTTTTGATTTGCTGTAGTAGTATAGTGCCGAAGACGAACAATTGGGGAAATAGGGTTAGGGTTTATGCGATCTGTGATGGGACAACGCAGAGGAGTTCGTGTATCTATTTCGAAGGAACGGGGTCCCAAAAAACCTAGCCTCATCGAGAATCCAACAGCTGATGATCGAATCTCCGATGGCAGCGGCGGATTGGTTCAGCAGGCGGCAGTTTCGACCTCCGGCGTCGATGGAGGATCGCCGGTGCCGATGAACCGGGATTCCGAGAGCGGCGACTCCATGCGTGAGCCATACCAACAACCGGCAGGCCCGCAATTGAGTCAGGAACTGGTGACTCAGTACAAGACGGCGTTAGCAGAGCTTACTTTCAACTCAAAGCCAATAATAATGAACTTGACGGTTCTCGCCGGTGACAGTTCGCGTGCTGCGGAGGCCATTGCAGACACTATCTGCACCAATATTATTGAGGTCACTCTGAACTTTTTTTTTCATTAATTTACTGGTAGATTTAGTCCTATTTGATGCTCTACTCAAACTGTAATGACGCATAGCTGTAAATTAGTTGTGGTTAAAGTAAATACTTATGGATTTTTACAGCTATTGATCATAATTTTCATCTTTTCTACAGTATTATCTGTTACAGTATTATCTGTTACCTGATGTGTGGAATTAATTTACAGGTTCCTAGTGAGCAAAAAATACCTTCTCTGTATTTATTAGACAGTATTGCGAAGAACATTGGGAAGGATTACGTAAAATGCTTTTCTTCAAGATTACCGGAGGTCAGATTTTGTGAAGTATCGTTTGTTGTTTTGTCATTATTAAGTATTCATCGCTGCTTGCATATACTTTGGTCATTATTCCCGTAAAGGTGACCGTACTTTGTGGTGAATTTACCAGGTTTTCTGCGAGGTGTATAGGCAGGTCGATCCTTCGATGCATAAGGGTATGTGCCACCTTCTCGGCACCTGGAATAGCATATTCCCTTCTCAGACAATTGAGTTGATTGAGAAAGAGCTTGAATCTACCAAGGCAAGGCCCTCGATAAGCTTTATATAACATAAATTTTCCCAAATATTCTTACCATTCGCCACTAAATGATTGTAAATTGTAATAAGAGCCATACGTATGCCACAGAATGTACATGATAACGAGTCGAAGGAAGATAATAAAGCCTCAGCCGATTCTAAATCTTCTTCAGAGTCTGATTCTCTGATTCAACAACACGAAGAGAAAGAACAGCTTCTGCGGGTCCCGCCCTACAAAAAGGGATTGGCAGTATTCGACCTCGTCTTACGCATAAGTGCCACCTTAGCAGCTATAGCCGCCACATTCACCATGGGAACCAAAGGGCACCCCCTTCCATTATTCACCCAGTTCTTCCAGTTACTTCTCTAGACTTATATCTACTCTCCGTTTTCTATTTTATAAAATACGCAATAAAAAATTAAAAAAATGAAATATTTTATGTTTTGTTGTTCGTTAGGTTCTTTGCACAAACCATGTTGATAGTTTCTGGATTCCTTACTATCTCTGTGCCCGTCTCCATTGGCTGCACTTTTAGACCTGTAGATGCTGTTCTACGCCGCTTCCTCATTTTCTACGACGCAGTAAGCTCCCAAAAACTATATCTATATATACATATCATTACTATGATTTTAAATATAGTATTTTCGAAAAGCAATGATGATGTTTGTTTCGGTATATTTTATTTCTTGGTTGTTGTAGGTGATGGTTTCGTTGACTATTCCTGTGGCGGGAGCATTGTCTACGATCGTGTACTTGCTGCACAATGGTGACTCTGATGCGAATTGGCTGGCAATTTGCCCGCAGTTTGATTCTTTCTGCCGGAGGACTAGCGGAGCTGCGGTGGTGTCGTATGTCTTGGTGGTGTCGTATGTCTTGGTGGTGATGCTCGTTTTTCTGATGGTGCTCTCCGCTGCTGCTCTAAGGAAACCTTAATCAACATATTTATGTTCCAATGTTGATCAATTTGATTTTAGTTTTTCTCTTGGAATTTTCTAGTTAAATAAATAAATCAAATGAAAAAAATGCAATTTATTAATTTTTTAAAAAGAAAAATATACAATTCTGATTTATTTATAGGGTAAAATTCATTTTGCACCCCTGTACTATGAGAAATGTATCGTTTACCCCCCTGATGTATGAAAAACATCAAATACCCCCCTGCCGTTAACTTTTTTCTTGAATCCGTTAGTCGAACCCTTTGACTGGCCGTTATAAAGACCCGTTGGTTTTTTTTTTTTACGAAATTACCCCCAATAATCTCTATATAGGTTTTGTTTGATTGACCAAACAATAAGAAACATGTTCAGTTATTTTTTAAGAATCTAAAATTAAGTTGTTTGGTTACAATCATCATGATTATGTTAGTTGGTTTACAAATATGTGAATCTAAGACAAATGAAGAATTCAAGAACAGAAGAAAAAATGGGTGAAAATAGTGAAAAAAACATGTTTAAAAGAGTGAAAAAAAGGTTGAATAAGTGGGAAAATTTAGTAAAAAAAAAGCTAACACTAGACAATCTATATATAGAGATTATTGGGGGTAATTTCGTCAAAAAAAAGCCAACGGGTCTTTATAACGGCCAGTCAAAGGGTTTGACTAACGGATTCAAGAAAAAAGTTAACGGCAGGGGGGTATTTGATGTTTTTCATACATCAGGGGGTAAACGATACATTTCTCATAGTACAGGGGTGCAAAATGAATTTTACCCTTATTTATATAATCAATTATCTTTTCTGCATATTGTTATCTGCACAAGAAATAACACCAGAAAGCAAGAACGATAGATACACCAGAAGCCAAGCACAACATATCCAAAGCTCCCTCTGTTCTCAACTTTCTCTCTCTTCTCTCTCTCTTCGTCTTCTCAAACTCTCTGTACCTTCTCCGCCCTTCTCGCACCCTGTTTTTCCCTGTCCCCTTTTTGCCGGCCAATGCCCCTTCCAAAATGACCATACTGTCCTTCCCATTCAATTGAATTCCATCCACGTCCTCGATTTCCAATTTCACTTCCCTCACCTGCATCTCGCCGCTCTCTGACCCACCGCACGTGACCACTATCCCGGCCTGCACGTGACCGTGGCCGGCCGTTGCCAGGATCGAAGCGAAACGCACCTGTAGTTCCCCAGTCAGCCAGTGGCGCTGCACCGCGACGGGCTTGTGTGATGAAATGTTCGCCGCCCGCCGGCCGATTGGGTCGATCAGAATCCAACTCAGTGTCATGCTGTCGAGGATTTCGGCAGCTGATTCGTCTCCGGCGAGATACTTGACGGCGGTGGGGACCACGTCCTTCGGCTCCAGCAGGTCGATCCGGAAGGGAGAGGAGCGGAACCACCCGCCGTCGGTTGAAGTTTCATGGAGTTTTGTGAAGATTAGATTGTCGTGGTACTTTATATCGACGGCTGAGAGTAGTTCCGGCGGTGGTGGGATTAAGGATGAGTGGCCGTGACAGCTTTGATCTGTTAAGAGAGGGAAAGCGTGTGAGAAGAAGGTCCGAGGCCCGCCGTTGGGGAAGGCGGAGATGAGTTGGCTGACTTGTGGTGAGGCGGCGGTGGACGGCCAAGTTGAGTGGCATATGTTGGACCAGAGGTTGTCCTGGCCGGAGTGGCGGCGGAGAGTGGTGGTGCAGCAGGCGGCGGAGGCGAGAGATGGCCCGTCTAAACGGGGGAGGATGTGGGCTTCGACGATATCTGGATGCAAGGTGGAAAACCCGGTGGCGGAAGGCGGTGGCGGAGAGTTGACTTGTTGTGCCGGCATTTTTTTTCTTGGACTGCGGTTAGTCATTAGTGCTTTATGAGTGGACATTGATGAAACTATTAATAATGATTTGAGTGGTAGCAATTTGATTCTGTGCTAATCGTGTATTATTTACATACTTGCCCTTGGATTAGTTAGTCTATTCACCGGCCACGTAGTAGATTAGTCTTTAAATAAGAAATTAGTCATTAATTTTATTTTTAAATACTAAAATTTATTGAATTTATTAAATAAGAAATATAAAATTCATGTTTGTTTTTATTTTTTGTTCAGAAATCCATCATAAAATATCTTCTAGTGTTCAAGCTTTCCAGACACTAAATGTTACGTACGAACAGTACGAGTGATTATAATCTAATTAATTGAATAATTGGCTCTTCAGCTCTAACCTTGTCGCTAATACGAAATTGTATCGGTCAGCGTCCGCAATTTAATTAACTTTCATGTGTGCAATATGACGATGAGTAAACATCATCGTGTAAGCAACGTTTGAACTGATTCTTGTTCGGACTCGATTTGTTTAATGTTATATAGACGTCTAACGTATCTTACTAATCATCAAAATCAAATTGTTTAACAGCAAGACCACGTCACATTATATAATAATACCGATACTAATAATAATAATAATAATAATAACGTCATTTTCAGCATGCGATTATAGAGATAAGCCTGCTTAATCACACCACTTGACTTTTTTCGTCTCGTTGATTAGGGAGATCTCGTTTCGAACATTAAAAATGGAGCCAACAGGACAAAACAACAACAACAAAAGCAGCTGCATTTCCATACGAACCTCCGTGAAAATATAATATAAAATAAATAAATTCATCTCCAAGCACCAAAATCTACGGATTGAAGTGAGATATTACCGTTAAACAAGTCTGATACATGCTGCTTACACAACCCTATTCTCCTCCTACGTAAACTGGGATGTATAGAGCTACAAAACCCCGTTTTCCAACCTGGAAACTTCTGTCTCTCCATCACTTGAACTGCATAAACACACGAAACCTTAGCAGAGCAACCAATCACGAAACAGTAACAAGGCCTCGATTCTCCCACCATTCTCGCCAACGATAACAAACACAGACCGCTGTAGTTTATCCCGTACATTAACGCACCGTCCAATCTTGATTCTCTTGCGTTAGCTTCTTCTTCTTCTTCGAGCTCAATCTCTTCCGTAATCGGGATTTTGCTCAGTTGTAAATCGAACTTCTTCTCTATCTCCTTCTCGTGTATCCTGTATTTCACCGCCAGTGTTCTTACGCACGACATTCTCACTTGATACGAAATGATTTGCTTCACTTGAATAAAGTTGTCGCACTCACTGTACCATTTTAGCCATCGATTAACTAACCCTGTAAACCAATCAACGATTTGATCGTCGTCCATTAATACTAGCATATAGCAAGTTCTTGGTTGTCCTTCTCTATTTGTCAATCCATATCGATGAAGACGCTTCATTATTACGTTTACTGGCACAATAATTTCTGTAATGAAATCGTAATTTGCGGACCCTGGTAAAAGAGCAAGAGTTGAAGCTGTCTCGGACGATATATATTCTTTGGCCCGTTTTTGAAATTCGTAGTAAGAATCTGTTAGTTCTTTGGGGAGAGCTGGCTCTATTATATGCTTAGCTAATACAGTTTCTTCAGTTTCTCCTCTTTTAGCATTCACATCTTGAATCCATACTTTCAGGAGTAGTTTATACCAGTGGTCAGTTTCCATTCCGGGTTTACGGTAAAACGAGATTTGATGCAAAATAGAGCTAGTGTCTGCCAAACCCTTGATTTCGGATTCTTTAACTTTCTTCAGCCCGTGAGCTAGCCATTTCTTCCCAATTCTCGAAACCCCTTCATCCCACAACTCTTGTTTCTGTTCGACGAATATCTTGATTTTGTCCTTCAACTTGTGAACAGCTTGTACAGCTGGATTCTCCTTCGGGCGCCTTTTAATCAGTGTGCCGAGAAATCGAACGCCGCGTGGATCACTGCATGCAAGAATATCCGCTTCACTCTCAACCTCTAAGTAGAGAGAATTCTTCAAGTACCCTTCAATCTCCGACTTGAAAGCCAGAGAAACTTCTTTGGGACCCGAAACGGCAAAAAATATCTCATCCATGAAACGACAACAATGTATTCTCACACCAGATTTCTCACCAACATTGTACTGTGTTACACTATTGTTACTAATCTGTCGCCTAAACCAGCCACGTAGCTTTGAGTTTGAACTATGCTCCTCCTCAGCATTAGGCGAGTTGGAGGTCTCGTATTGCATAGACATCCTGTATATCTCACGGTCAAATAAATCAAGATATATGTTCATCAATATAGGCGACAAAACACCTTCTTGCGGAAGACCGTGTCCTTTAGGAAAAGCCCCGAAATCCATATTGAGTACTCTGGCATCGAACATGTTTTTAATAAGCTCAAATAAACCATGATCTTCTATCTTGTCCTCCATTGATGACAGGAGTTTGCTAAGGATGCATTCATCGAGACTTTTGTTGAGAATCAACGTGAACCACCAATCAGGATCGGGTATCTCTTTACGGATATATTTCAAAGCAGACCAATGGCCTCTACCACTTCGAAAACCGTGAGAAATCTTGGAGAAGTGGGGCCGGTAGATCACTTCCAAAACTATTCTAACGGTTTCTTGAACAACCCTTAGTTTCAGTTTCGGGAAAACTAGTTCCTCTTTCTTCAACTTTGTCCCTTTAGTCGATATTGAATATGTATTGGCCCCAACTTCGAAGTGTCCGTTAGCTAGCTCTTTTGCCATGGACTCGAAAGGCAAGCTATCTGCATCCGATGCCAAGTCAACATTCGAGGTCACCCTTATGCAATCGTAAGCATCTTTTAGAGTGTTGGGGTCTGCAATCACTTTCATGAGGTCTCTGAATTTGCCATTCGAATACTGTTCTTTCACCTTCTTCTTTATAAGCATCTCGAGAAACTTCTTCACCTCTACACGTGTTTTCGGTTTCGATTTTCGTTCACAAACCTCGTAAGATTCTTGAACCAAAAAAGCAAGATTTTTCGCCAGGGCCGTTTTCCCAATCTCTACATCATCAGTGGAATCAACACATGACTCATCCAACAAGTTTGCTAAATTCTTGGCCAATCCCATATTGCCAATTCCCTTATCACCATCGCCATTTTCATAATGTGGTTTACGAGTCAAATAATATGCTACAGGAATAAATCTTTCCACAGACTTCCCTGAAACAAATATTACTACATAAGTAAAGCAGAAAACATTATACTAATAAATAACTTCACCAAGTATAAATTGGTAAATGAAGAGATAAGAGCCTTACCGATACTGATCACAAGTTTTCTCCGTAGTAGTTGAGACTTTGGCAGCATGGCTGCTGGTTAGAGTTTAACTAAGCCTTGTGCGTCTGCTTGCTGCCATTTTGTTCAAGAAAATTCGGCTATGTTGACAATTTATACCCTGATTAAGCGCCAAAAAACTAGATGATATAAATAAGGCGTGCTCTGTGTTACAATTTGTAAGAGGCATTTTAACAAACAGGTGGAGTGCAGAACATACAACCCACAAAAGTAACCTGTCATCAGCCACCGGGACAATACATAATTACGGCTTCCGAATAAAGCGCAAAAGACGATTTAGCCAAACAACCCCTTAGGTGAAATTTCAGTTTAGCACCTTTAGTGAGTAGAGTGATGGAGAAGCACTCGGTTCGTGTTTGGTATGAGAAACTACTATACTTGCACCGAAAACACTTCACCAAACTAGAAATGCTTATTGGCGTGTGGGCCAGGCCCAAAGTCAAAGCCCAGATCAAATTTCGCACCATTTTTGTTTTGTCTTTGGTTCCTTCGATGCTACACCCGGTGAAAAACACCGGGTGGGTCTTCTGCTGCCATTATAAAAAATATTTCAATATTACTAACACTAGATAATTTATTGGATTTTGTAATTTGAAGTTAAATTGCACTTTATTAGTTTGTTTACCGAACTAAGTTTTTAAATTATAAGTAAATTACACTTTTTCTTAAAAAAAAAATCAGGGATTTTGCAGTGCGGGTACCCGTGGGGATTTCCCGACTTCAGTTCATTTATCTGTAATTTCCTTATTTTCATTTATATAAAAGTAATTCGTTTCATCTTCATATAATAT